TTTGTTTAAATCACCAAGCCGTATCGGATATGTCATGTTGAGAAGCCCAACACCAGAACGACACAGTCATCCAGTGCTTCCAGATCTTTGATGATTGTCTAACGTAGATCGATCCGGGAATTCTATGGAAAAATGCGATTGTCAAAAAAGCAGTCTGCAAATTTAATCTTATTAAAAAGGAGAATGTATTTGTATCACGCCTAATTTTTCAACTTCTATGTAAAGATAACGTGTGGCGAACACTTATGATGCATCAGTAGATTAGCCGATTGTTTTGATAAAGTTTGTAGGATGTTTTAAATTTCGTGGCTGTATCTGTACGATATATGCACTTTGGATTTTGAATTATGGACTGAGCAGCACGGTATTTCACCAACCTACTTGTTAATTGATTCCAATGCGTATGGCAGTTTGCAAACAGATTTCGCACTCTTCAAATCACGCATGTTACGCTTGTTTTTATATCACAAAGCTCTCTGGGACTTAGTTAAGCAATAGCCTAGATTATTATACAAATATTTAGTTGGATCTTTACAGGTGTGGGTTTTTGCCTAGTTTTCACAAGTCTGGATTTATTACCCGAAATTTCGAAAACGCTAATTCTGGAAATATAGGTGGTCTTGTAGTCGTGATGTGATGTGTAACAATTCTGATTACACATGGTAATTTCGGTCGCGCTTGGTATACCTCGGAGTACATGTTGAGTATCTGCTGATAGTATGGACCAAATGTGTGTCTTACTGTAACTGGGGCTAATCTACAACCGGAAAACGAATTCACACTGAAGATAATTTATTATTGCTATCTACTAACCCCCTTCGGCGAGTATCAGTGTGTAGATTATGGTATCTAACAGTTCTCTAAGAGCGACTGGCACTGAAATACCTTCAATAACGAAGATCTAGTGAATGGGTTTGCGAGAACCCACGTTAAGATAAACATATCGCTAACCGTTTGTGGCGATCGGTTTCCCGTTTGCTGCCCGTTAGTTGAAAACTGCTTCGTGCAGTCGGTCATTAGAATTTGCTGAAGGAACGTCAACTTCTGCGCCAGTGTCGATGAGCCAGCTAACTAACCACATCAGTGAAGTAGAACGGACGGCTATGCTCGCCGTCCAGGGTTGCTGTTAACGCTTGCAGGCTGAGGAGTTTCACGATGCGTTTTCCGTGTCCGACTGTTTAGATATTGGGAAACTACTGGGTCTTCTGAAACCTCTAGACTTTCCATACCTGATTTGGTACCAGAATTAATCAAAATTATCTGCTTCTTGCGGTTTGAAAAAATCTTTTTCTCGACGAGCTTCTACGAGTGGTTTGGGGGAGTCTAAGGTCATGACGAATGTTAAAATAGGGAATGAAGGTAATTTAGCAATACTGGTATTTAATCATACGATTTTCGAAGCTTAGCATATGGTTACTGAGATGATTAATATTTAATATGTACCACTAGTGAACCCTAGACCAACGAATCGAAGTGAACAGAAATTAACATTTGCGACTAAACCCATAATAGTCGTAACTGCTATTCGTATTTCGGTTTATAAATTAGACTGAATATTATTTCCCTATAAAGATGTTTAACATAGTCAATATAATAAAGTCACCGCATTAAGGTATTATCGTGCTGCTCTGGTATAATAACTTAACTATCAGGTAGTTGTTAGTCACAAAAGTGTTCAAAATCAAAACTCTGGAGCCTATTATCAAATATTTCGAGATCTCAATCTGTAATATAAACAGGCAGATCAGGTCCGTTAATGCTACACTCCTGATATTACCTAATCAACTAGAACAACGATACCATTTCCCAATAGTCAACCTCTAATCAACAATATAAATAGTTATTCATAGCGGTTCCTGGATGTCGTCATGAAGCATTGACATGACATGACAATCACGTAATATGGTTTGCAAAATTGATGGAATTAATAAGGCAAACCCAGTCGACAAAGTGACTTATAGTTACCATTAAACGTTTCTGTTTTCTCCAGGTTATCTTAAACTGTTTTTGATTATTTCAATGTGCTTCCCCATCAGTTGCTTATTTAGTAAACATCTTAAAACCTTGTAGTGGCTTTGCTTCGTTGATTGATTACTTCGGTAATAGTTATAATATAAATCTCAACAGTGTTTGAAATCAGAAAGCAATAAGGAGCGGCAGCTACGGTTTATTAGCGGATAGCGCAGATCACAAAGCTATAAGCACATCAAGAGAATTTGGAGCAGAGAGGAGAATAAGTGTGTACGGGAAAAACATAAAAAAATTTATAGTTGAATTGCATAAGAGCTCTGAAAGGCAAAGCGAAATTTAATCATAGTATTTGATTACATATATACATGGAGAAGAGGATGAATCATCTACTAATATTTAAGCAATCAGCATTTTTGCTAGAGTCTGTCATGTGATTTAGTGATCATAACAGTATGAAGAGGTTTGTGAGTTGTTACTTTTCAAATAACATTGTATGTTCAGTAACTTAATTAAAGGGCCTAACCAGAATCTAAAATTAAAGAGATTAGTTGTAGGATAGTTGTTATAACCTTGTCAGCTCAATTGTAGGGTTGGTGACGCGATCATGAATGCAAGTCACCAATATAAGCAGTCTACCAAATCTCATACAACCTGAAAATATCACTGTCGCTCCAACACTAACAAAGATTCAAGCCATTATCACAGATATGAGGTAGGAGTTGCACCACCCCGGTTACAACTTGAGCTCCGCCTGATAATCACATGGGTAGCACTCACTGTTTATCATCTTTTAAAGATCTACTTAGCCGAAAGCATTGTACGACACCATGCCAACTATAATTGTGGTACGTAAGTTTTGTCGACTTCAACACCTTGTAATCACTAAGGCTCACACAAACCGATTTCTATATTACCTCAAATTTACAACTTGTAGAGGATTTGAATAGACAATCGACCAGTTCGTATGAATATAAGCAATTGGTATATCGCAAATCAGATTATTATGTCTATGTAGTGGCATTGGGCCCCAACCACATAATCCTTAAAGCTGAACACGAGACAACTGGAAAATCAGACTTCCAACATTTAACGCGGAGAAGAATGCAAGAATGGAGAAGGCGGGAAGAATCATTTCAGTTGAATCCAGTCGGGTGGCATGGACCGGCTTTGCAGGCGCGATCATCCGTATAACTGGTTTTTGCTCATACTAAATACGTTGTTCTATCTCTAGCATGAATTTGACCTTCATCATATATTGGTGACGTTTATGATAAGTCAAGTCAATGTAGACTGTAAAATCCAAACTAAGGTTTGGCTGAAAAATAACTGTCTCGGTAGTTTAGATACACCTTATTTCCCTTTTTAAATCAGAACAAGATGATTTGGAAAATAACGGTTCTAATTTTTGAACGGTTTCGCAAGTTGGTAGCCCCTGTCCTGTCTATGTTTTTTCATGGTCTTGACGGACCACAAGCGAAATAGTCAGCTCCAACTTGCTTTTGTGCGTGATTTTGGCATAATGTGGTCTGTCTTTATGCATATGGATTCCAGTTTGCAACCGGCTTCTGTCGTCACAAAATGCTTCAGGAGTTATGGCTGCCATAAGGGAAGATGTGAAGGTTAACTTCACTAGCCGAGGTCTAGAATCTCCATCCCTCTTGGCTTGTCTCACCATTTGTTGAATCAATATGTTTTTGAGCTTCAAGGACTGCTTGGTGAATTTCCACTCTCTAATATAAAAGTCCGTGTAGTCAATGTCCGCGAGAAATCGTTCCGCCGGATTCTTTTGGAATGTTCCTGATAAGATTGTGCTCAGGCAGTATTCTTGCATTCCCATCTGATCTTAGTAAGTGACTAGCAAACGGAACACCCACTACGTCGGCAGTGCTAGTGAGCAGTACACGAAGGAGTCTTGGGTGATTTCAGTGCTTGGAGTCCTTCAACCGGGTGAACCGTGCAACCGTCAGAGGCTCTATTTTGGGAAGTTTGAGCTTCCTGTTTAACTCTTCCCAAAGCATTCTTTCATTTTTGTCCCACAGACTGAGAGGAAGGTCAGATCTGTCTTTTAGGTTCATGACTATAAGAGAATCCTCGAAAATCGTGATCATTTTCCTCGATTTTCGAGTACGTTCAGGTTGAGGACCATTTTATTTGTTACACGAAATGCGATTCAGATTCCCTTACTTCTTTCAGACTGGTTGGACATTCTTAGGAGTAAACTGTAAAGCCAAATCATTAGTTGATTTCACTACATTTCCCGGGATGCTCTGCTTCTTAGGCGGTGACAACTGGTCCTTTTCAATTTTGTTGATAGGGTCCAATTACTTACAAAGTTTATGGAGACCACCGTTGCATACAGGGATCCTGTGCTGGGAGATATAGGTTTGCTGAGGGGGTCTAGTACCATCGATTTTATGATGGTGTTGAGCTTCAGCTTGTTCTCACCGTTGTCGATGGATCATCTTACAACACTAACATTGCTGATGTCCCTCTTCTTTTCTTCACTGCGCAAATTTATCCGATTTTAGGACTAACTTTTGTCGTGTTTGCTGACAACGTTTTCCGCAGACTTGTTAAAGGAATGGTGATTTCGCTCAGCAATTCCGAGTCGCTTGTATGAATTCTTCATGACTATGTGGGTGTGAATTGTTTGACAGATTTTATCAACAGTTTACGGCCGTATAACGAAAAAAACAGCACACTCAAAACGGATAAACTGGATAAAAACGAGTGGTACAAAAAGGTTAGGATACACTGAAACTAGATTTGACGTGAAAAACTGAAAAGACGAATAGTAAGCTGATGCAAAACCACAGTCAACCCTTAACTTGGGTAAAACACGAAAAGAAAAGTAATCTACTAAACGTTAAGCTCACGACAGATTCTTTGAATCAAAAATAGCATTTTCGTTTCACAAGATCACAGCGAAAAATTGAGAAACCCAAATTACGTTAGGAATAAACTTCTCGTTCGTAAAGCGATTAGCTATAAAAACCTGTCTGGTTGGCGCTAGTTTGTAATAATGTTATTGGATATTGGACATAACTTCGTTTGTGACATAAGGCTGTCCTACACCCAATGCGTACTATGTATTAGTTGTGAGGTATTTTGAAATGAAGGTCGTTGGTGTATGGATGAGTGATTCTAAAGTAGACAGCATTGGACTCAATAGTCTTTTGCACGAGAAGAGGTAAATGGCTATTCAGTGTATAATCTGAGTCAGTGCAGAAGTGATCTTATATTTAGAAAGGTTTTTTGCCAAATTTTTGTTTAAAAAGTGAATACGTAGATCAATCCGTGTATTAGTATATCAGAACAAGGGCCGTTTGACGTAATCCTTCACAAAATACCAGAATTTTTGAGCGGAGATTCTAGTAAACGGGGTCAGAAAATCATAGAAAGTTTTATCGTAAATAAAAACTTGTTTCCTTAATTTTTCATAGAACTATGCGAAAAATAATCCTCATGTTCTGTTCATAGACTCACCAACGTCACTCAAGTGTTTGGTAACGCGGCTTAATCAGTTTTCTTTGCTGCAAAACATTATACGGGTGTCGGATATAAGTAAGTATCGTCATGTCCACATATATTTGAATTATGGTTTGTGCGGAGCAGGTGTAGAGTATAATAAAGTCTCATGAACTTGTTTGTATATATTTGAGTCAAGGTCGGTGTTTACAGTTTTCTTGTGCCGATGGAAAACTGACCTGTAAATGGTACCTGGGTTTCTTTGCTGACAACCCACATCGGATGTTTATCAAAATTTAAACAAAGTACCAGAAGATATAAAGGTGAGACTATAATTTATGGACGACCTTTGAGCGACGCTAGAGTGACTTTGATAGTGTCCACCTAATAACTAGAACCAATGAGGGTTTTAAACCAGGGTGATGAAATAGAATTATGATTTACAGTTTATCGTTAAGGTTACGAATTAGATTTAAGATTTTCATCACGAACTAATATAAGCTATAATGCGAAAACTCTATTTAGCCAAATGGATGGGTAAATTTTGCGCCAAAATCCGAGACCTGTCGTCTTATACCTGATTGGTTCGTCCATAAATTATTGTCTCGCGGATTTAAAAACATTCGTCCTAATGACCGCTAATTTAAGTATAAATCTCAGGTATATCCTGTTGCACACTTGTTCGAGTTCTCACAATTCATCGTTATTAACTATAAGTGCTTTCATGTGAACCTAGCCCACGCCATATGTGTGGATACCGGCTTTCTGTTGTACAGCACGTTTTTAAGTTGTGCTGCAATACTTTTTGTGATGTTCAGTAAACAAACGGATTTATGTTGATAATTTTGGACATTGATCTGTGTAGTTAAGTTCGGCAACTGAGTAACATCATAGCCTTACAATCCTGTCTAAAAGCCCATTGTAAGAATCTATATTTGGTCCAAAATTTCTAGTACAAATCTAATGTCATTTTGCCTTGTTAAGCAGTTTGTCCTCGAGGTTTCTATTTCCTATTACCTCATAACAGCTCGCTAATGAAACTTCGCAAAAGTATCATATTAAAGTGAAAAATATCTAATAAACTCAGATTTAGTTATTCTCTGTATTTTAACTAAGTTTGTGAAATTCAGCTTTCATATGTTCATACTTTTTGTTCAAATGTTTCTTACTGGTTATGATCATTGTCATCTTTTATAATACGTTTTACGAGTCCACAATGCAATGCACATTCTCTGAAATCTAGTCATTTTTCCGATTAATTCAACAGGAAATGAAATATTTGTGCCCAAATTTTGCCTCTTACCACAAAAAGACCCCACTAAACTATGTGAGGCTGGTATTTCTTACCCTATAGGTAAGTGAAATATTTCTTAGATGCACAGTCATTATTGCTAGTCATAGTGTTTACTTACTTTGTAACCATTGAAGTTTTATTTGCGATACTGCAAGACATTGTGCAGTATAACATTAATTTTTCATGAGTGTTTTGAATGTTCAGGGAAATTATTTACTTCTTGTTTAGGAGTAGTCATGTGAAAGTTTAATATTAGTTTAGTAATCAATATCCGTAATACATATTAATCCAGTCTAGAGTTAGCTATTCCCTCCTTTTTGTATAAAAGAATTTTCACGTAGTTTTCATTGTCAGTGCTATCCAATTTCGCCTTGACCTCTTAATACCACTTTTCAGATAAAATTATCACATTTAGACACTGATGGCGTCCTTTTTATATATTAATAAAATTCACTGAAAAATAGTTATTTCTTGGATACTTGGCCACAGTTTTCAGTGAGATAATTCATTACTATTGCGACCTGACTAATAAAAGCAACTACTTATAATAGTAGAAAGCGTGAGTCAATCGAAGCTAGACCACCATGGAAAACCTGGACGGCCGTTTCGTCCTATTATGGGACTCCTCAGCAGTGCGCATCCACGAACCCGCTCTCGCGAGATTCGAACCCAGAACCTACCAATCTCGAGCCGAAGCCCTTAACCGATAGACCACTGAGCTAGCATCCAGCGGTGTTAATGTCTAACTTCAACTGATCCACGAAATTGAGCAACCATTCACCAATTGTCTTCAGTGAGTTCCTATCTCGCAACAGACGTGGTTTTGAACTCCACTGGTCACTGCTTCTCACTAGAGCTCCTAGATATACTTCTCGAAGTCACTAGTGAGCATATGATTATATTAATTATCAGAAGGGGTTTTGTGGAGATTTAGTATTTATCATAGTAGAAAGCGTGAGTCAATTGAGGCTAGACCACCATTTAAAACCTGGACGGCCGTTTCGTCCTATTATGGGACTCTTCAGCAGTGCGCATCCACGAACCCGCTCTCGCGAGATTCGAACCCAAGACCTACCAGGTTTTCCATGGTGGTCTAGCTTCAATTGACTCACGCTTTCTACTATGATAAATACTAAATCTCCACAAAACCTCTTCTGATAACTACTTATAAGACAACTTTCTCAATGCTAATGCCCGTCCATTTTGGTTCATTTGTTTCTAGATCATGTAGAAAGGGTCTTAGCCATAATTCTCAAATTCCCATTTTAAGGAAGTTTCATTTTCCCCTCATTTCACTGTTAAATTACAGCAACTCAAATTTTGAGATTCGGTTACAAGTCTAGAGTTATTCTAATTATGGAAACCTCAAATGTGCTTTTTCGACTCTTTAAAATGTATAAAATTTATCAAAACTTTCGTTTAATATTTTTGTCCTTCTCGAGCTTTCAGTCTGATCGTAGTAAGAAGTGTTTCTAGAAAGAGGATTCGTATGTAAACTTGCTTCCTCTATGTTACAGTCATTTATATTAAATCTCTGTGGTCACGCAACATTCGGAAACAACCATTTTTTTAAAATAAAATCAAGAATCTTTACAAAACTTGTCTTATTCGGTCGTTTTTGTTTTCGTAACATAACCGTGACCATAACAACAACTCTCTTAAGCAGAACTAGTTATGCAATGATTTGACTTGTGTAGAGGATGTATATGTTATCAATGGCGTGTATGATTCCATTTTAAATGTGTGGCTTTTCAGACATATGGACATTAATGTTGGATGTGCTGTTGAACTTTTACTGGGTAAAATGATCCCTCAAAAATGTACCATATCCTGTGATATTTAGTTATCAACCAACACATTAAATTTTAGGTGTCACCATCTTTCCTTACGTAGATTTATTATTTTTGTTTGGAGGATATCCTGGCAGTACTCTTGTCATATGATTTACCAATCAGAACCATGATGTACTTCAGGGGAGAGAGGAAAATGAACATAAGTACCTCTTTCTTAGGATGCGCTTCCGTTTTATGCTAAACAGCAACTTCCTATTGTTTTGCATACGAAACAACGACTAGATGTGAAAGGTCTTTGTTAAATGCGAAAAAATGGAGTTCCAGTTACTAACTCATTAGTTTGTGAATTTTTAGTAGGTCTCTATTATCATTGTAAGGTCTTGTAACCTTCAAGATTTACGATCCGCTAACATTGTTTAGATTAATTCTGTCTGTACAGCGTGATTTGTAAAATTTCTCTGGGGTTAGAATTAGTCATTACCACAGCATTATGCCTTTCTTTATTCGTTTAAGTGTTGACTTGTTTTTCTTCCACAAGTTATACAATCTGAGTTCAGCTTGATAGTGAAATATGGTAGAACGTTGAACAATTCACGAGAAATTCAGTTTTGACTTCTTAATAAATACTATGTTGTTTAAAAAGTATTTCATTCCATAAATTTTGAAAGTGAAGTAAGAATACGGAGTTGGTTTTAGAGCTGTGCTAAGGACAGTCATCATTTTGGTAGCAAACTAGTCAAATGTCACAGGATTGGCCTTAAAATGTTTTCAGACTTATACAGAAATAAATCATCAGGGTTGAATTTTTAGGTTTTTAGAAGACTCAACCGTCAAGGAATTTGAGCCTTCTTCGTGTCTTCAAAAACAATTAGTTCACACGTAGAGCCTATACCAGTTATAGTAATCCTTTGTATATATTTATTGTCAGAGGTGGTGTGACAGTTTGGTATTCTTTCTATACCATAAAATATTTTTATCTTTTCGTATGTGTTATATCCTGTAATCTAACAATACGTGTAGACGACCTTCAGCAGCCAGTACGAGGGGGAATGATACTCTATGCTTGACGGTTGACCCAGTGCTAACTAGCTCTCAACGAAGAGGAAGAACGCAAAACCAATTATCTCCAGTCTAAGATCGTTAATATATTTCAAACATTCATTTATATACACACAAAACCAGACCATGCAGCAGACCAATTGAGTAGCAGTTTTAACACAAAGTAGCAACATTAGTAATAGAAAAAATGGAGTACTGGGTATAAAAATAATTGGTTCTAGTTTATGAGTAGAAAATGTTATAACAGCAAATTCGGTCAGTCAGTCAGCTACAACGTAGGACCAGGCACACATATGCATCAGTCCAAGTTGCCATAACCTCGTTAGCACAACAAGATGAACACCAGATTCATAGAAATAGTTAATTTAGTGGTGGTAGTATATAAAAGATAGGTTGTATATAAGGATATAGTATAGGAAGGAAAAAAGTTATGAAGCAATTCTAATCTTAAGGTTTAAGGGAAGATAAAGAGTGTATACACTTACGCCATTGTAATCGATTCTGAGTCATGTCACCTAGAGTCTCCAACCATTGGTTACGATAGTCACGCGGACCCCAACCAGGTAGTCTGCATCTACCAACATGGCTCAGACTAGAAGTTAGTGACTTCAAGCACTGATGCCATGTTTTGGTTTGGCCACCCCTAACTCTTTTTCAACCATCCCCTACACTAGTCAGCATAGCGCATTTTTATTAAGCACTTTGGTTTGCTTATTTTCGTAATACCCTAGTTCCAAGCTTTTATTTGAACCGTAATTTGTTGTTATTACGGTTCAAACAAAAGCTTGGAACTAGGGTATTACGAAAATAAGCAAACCAAAATGCTTAATAAAAATGCGACCAATGTATTTAAATAAAATCGTAGAAAAATAGCTTCGAAAGTTCTTACCTCGTAGTTAAATCGGCCCTTACAATAGTACGGTTTTAATTATCAATTATTTCGTTGATTGTCTTATATTTCCACATAAAATCAATCGAAAATTAAATGTGATCAAGGTGTATTTTGAGCATGTACTATATATTTTGTATCGCTGTCTTTCAATTTCATTCTTAGGTGTTCATTAATGTTAAAATGATAGGATGAAAACGTGTACGTACTAGAATTAGCCGTCACGCTTGATAATCTTTCTCTTAGTAGTTTATAGATGATGTTGGTTGCACATAACGTCAAAAATAATACTAGAGTAATTCAACCAAGTAGGAAATACTTTTCATAATAAATGCGGAAAATTATCATCTGCTGATTATTTTACAAGTGAATGAACGTCGAAGAAGCATATGCTTTTCTGCGGAGTAACGGTAAAAACCCACTAGTTTCTAACTTCCAGGATTTCACTAAATTGGAGTATGCTTACCTATTTCTGTATTCTGTGAACGTCGGTACTTTTCAATAGAAATCATCAGATGTAACTTCATCACTAGTAATCCAAAGTGTCTAAATATAGTATGCTAAGCAGTTATCGGGATCTACAAATCTTAATGTGCTTACTGCTCGACTCAGTTTGTCTTTGTCTTTTGTTTGTTAACTCATATTTTTACTGTTGAAACGTAAGTTCGGGTGCTGGATTTGCACAATGTCTCAGCTATTTTCACTTACAGTGATTGGTTAAAGAATTTTGGGCTGCTTGACCAGGATCCATTGGATAGTATCTATCATGTGGAAGTTGATATTAGGTTTATTGACTGTTCGTGATAGCATAATCACACCTGGTTTAATGTTATAGAACACTATTATTTCCCACTCAAGGAAAGTGAGTCGACACAAGGAAAGTATCTGCGTAGTGGTGGAGAACCTTATCTAATTCTTAGTGCTTTGGAATATAACTAGAACTAAATCTACAAAGTCATAACTGATAGTACTCTCTCAATTGCAAGCGTTTCATCCCTTTATTTCTATCTAGGCTGATTTAATTTAATATTACATCATTGTTATTTTTTTTATTTTACCGACGATTTGAATTTATATTTAAACTTTGGTTTTCATCTATAGTTTGCAAGTCATTAATGGCTCATGGAAAAGACAGTGTACATAAGGTACGTTGGTTTCATTCAGTACATTCAATTACTTCTATTTATCGGAGAATGCAATTCTCTGTTAAATTCCTGCTGATTATGCTTTATTTAGCTCATAAAGTTAGGTACCTTTAACCACAATATATATATATATATATCACTACTAATTATGATAACTCGTGTAGAGAAGTTTTGAAAACAGGGGAATTATTGAAAAGTTCTTGGCTTTGTAAGTCAATGAATGAAATTTTTCTGTATGTTAATTTGACTCAGTTTACTAGCTAATCTCACTTTATACACGTAAACGGTCAGTATCCACGAAATCTACTGTTATCTGGATGTGTTTAAAGAATAAGGAATTATCTTAAAATGTTAGTCGTTTTCAAGCAATTATTACCGTTAAAAGCCACTTGATTCGTTACATCAATTGGCTTTCCTTTTAACAGATTATACCATATTTTTGACGTATATACGTATGTTAGCACTAGTCTTTGAGTGTGCATTCTAATAATATTCTCCGGTAAACTAGGAAAATAAAAAAATCAGATTTGTGGCTTATTACGTTCAAATGTCACTTAAAATACCAATTTTAAGTACAGAACTTCATCTACACATATTTCTTATAAATATTTGTTGATCCATTTACTGACTTAGCGTTGGTACATGAAGACCGTCAATTTTTTTCGCAATCACCAAATGCTTGAACCAAGTTTTGGATCGTTTATGTATGATTCTTTTGAAGAAAGTCTTATTTAGAATGTATCTTAACTGCTCTTTTGAAATTGTCATACAATATTTATTGTACTATAGTTTTAACCAGTTCACACCAGAAGACCAAACAGTATCAGATCAATCCAAAAATGATTTCTCAAGAATGAACGTATGTTTAGGGAACGAACTACAGTAGTTAATGTATTTCATATTTTCTTGCTCAGTCAAACACATCTGTCGTGTACAGATGTTGTTGTCCAAACATTGAAAAGAAAGTCAAAAGAATCATCAGACAAAGTTTTCAGTCAGTAATTGACAAGTTGTCCTGAACTAACTCCAAGAACTTCCAAGGTCCATGGATAGAATTGATGCCCAGTCAACCAACAACTTTATTTTAGGAAATATTATTCGATAGTGGCCATGTAGAATCTTCTAGTGGACATACGAAGATATTTTCTAAATGTCAAAGATCAAGTAATTAGGAATAGAGCTTCAAAAGGTTGTATTTTCCAAACTCATCGCTAACTTTTTTATTACATCAAATATGACGAGTTTCTGACTTTCAATTGTCTTCTTTTTGAATAATTCATGCTTTGTCATATCTTAAATTTTTATTTAAACATTATCTTGTCATTTCACTTGAATACTGACTTTTTGCATCACATATGGTTTGCGATTTTTAATTTTAATAGCTCGCTAAATAATTTACACTATAATAGAGATTATACGTAGTAATATTGTTGAATATGGTTTAATATTAGTTGAATACTGTAATAATAGTATGATAATATAACTTCAAAATAAATCCTTATAAAACAAATTTATTTTCATTTTACTACTATATTCATTTCACTACTATCTAGTGGATATATACCTACAAATTAGACTTTAAATCAAATTGTATTTAATTGTTAGTGTTTCTGTTATTACACTTCTGAATGTTCAGTTATTTCAGTTTAAAATGTAAATGTTAGGATTCAAGCTGATATAGATACGGTTTTCGTCAACAGTAAGTTTTCATTAAACTTGCTGAAACGATGAGAGAGATAATGACATGCTACTTCATTCAGGTAGTCATATATTTCAATCTTACAGAGAAAAAAAACGGTTAGTGAAATTAACAGATCAAAAAGAATGGGATAAATATGACGAAAATAGAGTAATATTTATCTTCTAAGTGTATGATTAGAAACAACGCTGCTATGCCATTCTAGTCCGTTTCATCATAGCACTTTAGGACCTCATCCACTTTTTATTGCTTGCACATACATCCATCTCACTAAATATGTAGTTATCCAGACTACTCAAATTTGGATAGTATGGATGTATAAGTTATCTGTATATCGTAGTCTAACTATTTTCGAGTTTCTTCCATCTATCTCAATTTATATTTTTTAAAAAGCCTTTCAGAAAATGCTTGATTTTACGTGTAAATGTATATACTCTCGAAAAAATTAAAACGGGTGAAACAAAACGCATTGTTGCTTGTTTAAGAAGAAACAAGAATTGTTGTATGTTTTTGGAATCCAGGTTTCACTCTTGTGACAGCCGCAACAACGAGACATATTAACTGAGCAAAGCGAAAAATAAATAATACGCACTACTAAGCTATGAGCCACGTTGTTTGTGTTCAAGATAATATTGTTCAATTTTACTAACTGAAATTGATTTTTCAATCTTGACATAGTTGTTAATCAATCGCAATTTAAAGCACTAGTTTTGCGTATTTTGAGTAACACCTTTTTTTACATTACTATTAACAATAACAGACAGTATCAGCTGATGATTTTTTGTTCGAACATAGCCAAATTTATCATGAAAACACTTGGATTATAAATTTTGCTATGGATTATTACTGTTTGTGTTGTGATCGATCTATATTTCAGGATCGAAGTTATCACAACGGAGGGTTCATCTGGTTTTATTACGACTCTTTTTCTTTAAGGATGTGTATTCATTTATGTATAATGGAGAAGGTTTGTAGCTCAGGTGGATGATTTTGATGGAGCTTTGTTCTCTGAGTTGAATGGTTTGATCATGGAGCTTTAATCGTCCTTCTGAACGACACCCGAAGTTTGTAATGATGATGTCGTTCAGAAGAACGATAAAAGCTCCACGATCAAACCATCCAGCTCAGACACCAAAACTCCATCAAAACCATCTGTGTATGATCTACCGGTCGAATATCCATTCTAGGGATAGTATAATCTTGATCACCAGTCATATTATCATATTAGTTCTAGTACACTGTAAAAACATAAGATATTTCTGTCTGCTGATATATAATTTACGTTGCAAGTGTGTATTTCTGTTTTATATCACTCGCTTATGATTATCTTTCAGACGATGTATGGGAAGTAACTTGCAATCTAGAGTCTCTTAGTGTTCCTACATATCATTCTCTAGCTTTGCAAGTATATTTTTATAAAGCCTAACAGGAAATTTTATAAGTTTACTCTTCAGTATCATCATCATCAACGTTACAGCTAATTACTCAGGTAGCAGATAAAACATGTACGCTCCAGAACGTAAGCATATCGGCTATATACGTTGTTTGCTTTAGTCAAACTAATGGCATGAGATAGTGTTCATCTCGGTTTTATTAGTTGGATTCCTTGATAAGGACGCGTACGTCGATCAGTAATTCGGTGATCACATTGTTACTTCCATAAAAAAGGTGATTTTTTTTTATAGTTTACTTTTACAACTAATTAAGTAGTTTTAGACTGAGACGTTTAGGTAATCAATTCTTACTTACTCTAATATATCTACTGAAATTTGAAGAGTAGGATAATACTGTTCGCAGTTATATGGTTTCTGTAGCTTGTAGTCTAATACGGTAATCTGTGTATGCCTATTGAATAGCATTTATATATTCAAGAACATGAAACTCACGCAAATTTTCATGGCATCAGTTATCTGTGAGGTTAATTGATCACATCTTCGTTGTTCGTCAAGTTCTTTAATACAAAACTGGTTAGTGAGGCTTTACACCTGCCATAAACCGTGTGAAAATCTTTGAATTGAAACATTAAATCGATATATTCTGTCAATCAAGGCACTGTTCGAACTCATACTTGCGTAATGGTTCGTCGAGTGTTAACATCCAAGGTAACGACAACAAGCGGCGTTCATCATGGATGTTCGCTTCCATAATTCCCGTGAACAAACTTAAATTGAATATATCATGTTTAAACTTTCCTGAGACTGCTCTCATCCCCGGGGATTCCTCGGCCGATCGAGAGTAGGTAAATTACATAGTTCTGCTAGGCGAAATCAATGACAAGATCTCTTTAGTTCCTTGACATAAATTTATAAAATTTAAGATAATTTTCTAAGATTGATTTACTCTTACGCTTAGTTCGTCAATAGAGATAAATGTAGTTGAGATTTCATTATTTATTTAAGGAATCAGATCAATTAATAAGCTAGTTACTGAAAGAGTTCCAGCATGAATACCGGTGTTTGATCTAGTTCCTACCAAAATTTACTACTTACGGGAGGTATATATATTCCTATTTATTTGAAAAGGAGTGAAGTACATAGCAGTCTTCTCTAGCTTTGTAACATAGTCGTTGAGGATGGAAAACACACAAAAACGACATGTTTGACAACGGCTCTGTTTCGCATTGTAAAGGGAGTAGATCAGTTGATGAGGTCGTTTATCTGCACTGTCGGTGATGACTGAGTGATGGGATGTCATTTGAATTATGATTAGAGTAAAAACCAACTTGAAGTGTGCAGACTAAGATATGAGATTAGTCTGCGAAATCATCCAATGTTGGCCATCGTTATGCAAGGTGTCGTAGGCCATCTAGGTACGATTCCCAGTGTATTGTAAGTCATAGAAGTTTAGTGACTCGGTCCGAACTAACTGAAGCGGTGCACATATACTCCATATTTTCTCAAATCTTGAGGTTTTTAATAATTTAATAAGTGCGAATTACTTTTAGTGTAGTTGTAATCTAACATAAGGTTGGCAGCTGTTAATCAACAGTGTCATCACGGATATCTACCCGAAACCTTTGTTTCTCAAGTATATACTATAGGAAAAACTATACAATATTATTACTTACTTTCATGGGTGAACTGGTTGATTGCATTTAAACTCATATTTTACTTGTATCCTAGTTTCTCTGTAGTTTTCTTTAATCATTTTAAATGATTTTCTATTTAGATAGCTATTGTTTTCAATGACTCAGGCCTAGATCATTTAACCTATCCCGTATTTGTTCAGCAATTTATTAAACATAATGGAAAAGTTCTTAAATTATTTGTAGTTGGTGATCATAGTTGTATTACTGAAGTTCCTTCCATCAAAAATCACGACAAATCTGGTAAGTTTGCATCTATTATTATATATTATGAAAATTTCGATTTGTTGATGTGTGTACGGGTTATATTTTTCCATCACTTAGATATAGACGAACACTAGCCAGTAGTATATGTTTACGTATTTAGGTTCAATCATAATCTTTGTATTGAATCTAGTAGTTCAACTTGGTTATTGAAACCAAAGGAAATGGAGCTGAATTCGAGGTTTTGAACCGACGGTTGAGTTTTTCTAAATATTATGAGAGAAATAATTACTAAGAAAAATATTCACACAAATGAAACAGGTATATATAGTCAAACTAGTTTGTGAATTTGAACCACTTCACTGTATGAGTTTACTTTTAGTAAAAAACTTAAGAGTCACTTATTTTTTTATCGCGTATGGTCAATGACAAGTTTAGTAGGTGTTTACAGATAAATTATAACGTAATTAGAATATTGAGTTGTTATTCATCTCACTTTTAAATCTAAGAATATTTCTGTAACTTTTGTCAGTATGTTTGTTATTAGTCATAGAGTTTGTGATTACATCTACATTTATTGACCGGCTGGTGATACATATGTATTTCATAGTAATCAAGTTGCCATCTACTTATGTATACATTAGCTGTAGTAAAACTAGATGAAAATGCAGTCAAAGGAAGTCGTGTCAGGGCATGACACCAATCCATGAAGTGACTGACTGTTGTTTTAAACCACTTCGTAGATGGAGTCCTCCAGATGATAAATAATAATAAACCAAAACAACTACGACTTTGCTATTCGTATACTTATCCCCATAACGCTTTTCTAGAGTTTACCACAAGTTTGAAGTATTGTTTATCATACTTCAAGTTGCATCAGTGTCATTTATTTGAGCTTAAGCAGTCAAATAGTCGTTGTTATTTTACTATGTAACGGCAAAAATATCAAAAAATTGCTATCCAGTACAAATTACGATAGCACTCAATAAGGTTGGGTAATAAGACTGGATACACTAGACCATGATATTAGATATGAGATCATTAGACCACTAGACTAGAACATGTTATGCACAGACAGACGATTCCAACCAATGATCGAAAACTACATTACAGGTTAGACAATGGTTTTAATAACACAAATGCAAGCAGTTCACTCAGGGAAACCCAGAATACAAGACCTAAGTGAATCAGGTACAAAATAAAAATAGTAAATTTATGACAAATTATGAAGTTGGCGTGTTTGTTTTTGCCTAGTAACCAGCCACAACTTAGCGTTAAGTCATTGTACAATCAACAAACACTTATTATTATTATTATTCTTCCAATTTCTGGCTGTCACCATTGCTATGTAAAGAATTCCTCATTTCTCGACTGTAGGTGTTCCTCCTTAAGTAACTTTTTCAAATTGTTATGGTTTATTTTAGTTCTAAGTGAATGACAATTAAAAGATCCCATTTATCTTAACATCTCTTCATGAGAATATCAGATCATTTTCATGACTATACTTCATAATCTCGATATTCCGTCACAATCAATCCTATGGTTATCATCAAATTTTATTAATATTTTTAAGTTCAATAATCCAATTCGTTCAAGTACGTTTAAGATAGAAGTGTTGTTTTTTGAATAAAGTAGGTGAGAGGAATAGTACTCTTCAAAATGGTTCTTATGACACTACTTTAAATTACTGACGTAAAATATTTGAGAAACTTAATTTCAGTATTACAGTAAAGGGACAGTTTGTAATCTATCATGTTTGTCTAATCATAGCAGTTAAACCTTTTTTAAAAAACCGATTGAGCCGAAAGTGATTGATGTACTGAGACATTTATTAACTATTTAGAAAGTACACCCATTTTTAGGCCTAAATGTATTTGATATTAACTTGTCAATATACTTGAGACAATTTATTTACGAATGCAGTGTTATGATTTTAAGAAATAAAGGCCGTATCCAATTCGTTATGACTTTTATGCACGGCTTTTTATCACGTGATTTATACACCAATCGAAATACAACTTTTCCGATCTTAACACTGTGACAAAACAATGACGTTTGACTGGTATGAGCAGTCTAGCGTCCTTATTGGTCCCTTGTCCACCTAGCCATTCCAATTGAGTCCAGAACACAAATTACAGCTTCTGTTATGCGAATCATTTATTTCAAGCATATTCGGTGTATATACTAGACAGACCGCATCACACCATAAAATAATATTTGTACAAGATCAAGCCAAATGTGGCTGTGAATGTGGGAGACAGTAATCAATAAACTGAATATAATTTAGGGACAGTAAACTGTATAATAATAATAATGTCATAGGTCAAAATGAAGCTTATAATGAGATGAATATATATATATATATATATATATATATATATATATATATATATATATATATATATAAAATCTAGTCACTGAATAGTCATACAATAAGAATATATATAGAATAATATTCCATTAATAGGTCCTGGGAGTCACCCGTACTTATATTTTCACTAGCATATAACACAGATTGTGATTTCACTATAATAACATTAAACAGAAAATATGATAAGGCTTTTCTAAGCTTCATTCCTATGTTTTTTTCTTTAACATTGGGTGGTTTCATTTAAGGTTATGCTTTATTGTATACTATTAATAATCAGTTTTTTAAATAACCAAAATTCTTACTTGATTAAACAATCAATCATTTAGCTTAATTATATTTAATAAAACTAACACTACTACTATTGTTTCTGATAATAAAGAATAACCTTGTACTTTAAATGTTGTTTAAATTTTACTCTTTGTTCATTGTCGTTACCAATTGTGTTTAAATAACTCTTTTTTTATTTAAAAAATCTGAGTCCAATTAGAATTAATCTTAGCTTCAGAAATCAACTTACATTTTAACTTGATTATATCAATGTACTTTTATATACTGTCGATGCAACTAATTTAATATTGAACTTTATAATCATGTGTTTTTTTTAAAAAAAGGAAATTCATTTCAGTCTAAAAGCACATTCTGTTGATCATTTGGATATATTTTTATGGTAAAATTTTATTTTAATATTATAAATTTATCTCATTAAAGATTCTTGTGATTAAAATGAAACATATAATTTGGTTTATGCTATCATAATAATTTGTGAACAAAAACTTATTGTAGTGGATGTTTCATCTGAACCCGATCTGACAGCAAATCCATAAAACCTTCACTAACTTCTTATATTTTCTGAAGCGAATCTGTTGCTAAATCGACTACTAATGACAAACTAATTTCAGGAAGCCTGAAACGAGATTCCGTCCGAGAACTTACTTTGGGCATAAACAAGTAGCAGATTAAACCCATAACAGCCAGCAGAAAATAAGATTATAAAACAGATAAGTCATGAATAGTTTACAAAGATTAATAACTGTCCAGAGTTCACCAGAATGAGGCTACTACAGTATGCTATGGTTACCTCAGTTTCTAAGCTCGTTTAACGTTGTTATTTTTGGCTAATAACACATTTTTTATTCTGGACTGATATTTGTTTATTCTACAGACAGTGTTGCCTAATTTTCATAAACGTTCGTTTTGAAATTATTAGAAAGACAACTTTTTTATTATGACCAGTATAATATCTATTTGGTCTTTACTGAACCTCTCCTTTCACACACAAATCTTCCAAGCTTTACAACGAAAAGTTTGAACAGAATGCTAACACCTAATGTCTGTTAACGGAGCAATGGAATATGATTTAATAATTAGTTATAAGCATATGCTGAAATGTAAGAGTAGATGATAAATAACTTCTACCTCTAACTTCCTCAGAAATAAAAGAGAATACATTAGTTTCACTAAGATGACTTATGGATACATTGACCCTCTATTAATGCCTTTTTCATTGTCTGATAGAATAGAATTGTCCAACTTCACATTAAAACATGAACAAGCCAACAGAGAACACAAATACAATCAATAGAGAAGAGATTTGATTATCAGAAAAACGGAAGCTGGTAGGTGCTGTTTGATATAGTAGGTAGTCTACATACTTCCAGTCAGTCACAACGTAGAACTTCGTACGTACGTACATCAGTTCGAGTTGCCATACCACATTAGCACAACGATGCAGTTGTCGATTTAAATCCCATAGTGGTATGAGTAGTAAGAGTATAAGCAGTAATCCGAAAGTTTAGGGTTTGAAAATGTGATTTAAGGAGTATAATCCAGTGAAATAAATTTGGAAAGAGAAAAAAGATAGAAACACGAGGAATTCAAAAGATTAGAGCTTGGCACAACACAAAGAGTGGATGCACCTTCACCATTGCAAACAATTTTGAGCCATGTCATTCAAGGTCTCTAACCATCAATTGCTATCATCTCGCGAATCCCAACCAGGTAGTCTACACCTACCAGCATAGCTCAGTCCAATTGTCAGTGACTTCATGAATTTGTGCCACGTTTTGGTCTGGCCGCCCCTAGCTTTCTTCCAACCTACTGCTACACCATAAAACATTGTACGTCGGGGCAGTCGGTGGTTGGGCATACGTAACACGTGTCCCAACCATCTCAACTGATGAAGCTTCACTACTTATCGTGATGAACCAATCGAGCTATACTGGCTGGAACAATCGTTCCTCAAGTTCTTACCATGCCAGACAGGTCGGTTGACAAGTGGTAAGACTAAAAGCAGCAAACCCAAGGTCCGAAGGCGAAGTCATACTGCCGACTGTACAGAGGTGTGACGGCAGTAAGGTGCTTCCTTCAGACAACCAGCATAACAACGATGCTGTCTTTCCACAAGAAGGGGTGGGCTTAGAAAAGGTCGACCCAGTGGTAAGGTCCTTTGAATGTTCAATTTAAAAAAAACAAGCATAATACATTTAATTTCTGAACACACCAATCTGGATTTTGGTCATTGGATAAATCCTCGCAGACCTCAAATAACTAGTAATTATAACGATATAAAATCTGAGTTATTATTTTCCGAATACAATTTCTCTGTCTGGTCTGTGGTAGAATCAATAGAACAACTTGTCATACAACTAACATATCTATCTTATTAATTAGATTTTGATACACAGTAACTCTAACTACTCACTTCGCTTAAAAGTTTCCTAGTTTTATTTTATTAAAACACAAATATTGGTACAAAGGAGCACCAAATACATGTGTTAGGGCTATGATACTTTCCGAGTGCCCAGACCGAAGCAGGTGGTTTTCTTAGGGGACCACACCCTGGGTTGATTTGACTCAGTAAATCAATCAGATAGATCTGTGATTTATGAGGTTTTTACTGCGATTATTAAATACAAGATTATATGTTTGGTAAGCTTCATAAACTTAATCCTTGAACTCTACTGCTTTGGATTACTGATGTCCTTTTTGTTGGTTTGTGTTATTTAAGTAATTATTTTTAGCTCTTTCCCACTTATCTGTAAGTACCCTTTTTTTGTTTTCTACAGTAGATAGAACTCCAATATTTTTTCATTCACATAGTGTATCAAAGGATGGTTGTCAGTCGCCTTTATCTGAAGTAAGTAGTTGTATCTTCTTTACGATCTTACACCCACTAAACTTATTCAGCACTTTGTGAGTCGTTCTCACCATCCGTAGTTATTTTAAATTGACATCACCATGCTCGATAAGATTTATTAATTTTTTTTAAAAGCCTAAGGTTTGTATAGTAGAAGTATTTATGCTCCATCACTAATCACTTTTCAAAATATAAACATTATTACTTGATCGACACATAAGTTATATTCGATTAGGTTAGTTTTTTTTCGGTGACATCCTAAACAATTATATGAGTTATGAAAAACTCTACTCTGACTCTTCCATCCTCTACATCAGGAATGCGACACACTGTCGTCGCAAACATGTCTCCTCGGCACTTTACTTTGGCTATTTCTCATCATAATTACATAAAGCGTTCGTACACTAACTTCTTCATGAAACCGTTATGTTATTTCGTGTGATAAATATCATAATTCCTCATTTCCAGAAGCTCTGATTTTCAAATAGAAACTAATTTTTACATGTTTTGTGCTTTCGATTGGTAAGTGGATGCTTTAGAATTGATATACTTCGGAACAAAGTGGCATTGTGTAAACCATTTCAAAAATGTTAGGCGTCATATGCGTGTGGCTAAGTTATACCGCCACAAGTGTAGGAAGTTTTGTTGGGACTTACCATTTTGCAGTCTATGATACTAGTAAGATACTCGAATTGCTATCTATTCACGAGTATAATACATGTCGATAGTCATTCTACCAATTTGCCGAGGATGTTTGTTTTCAGTTGAACTGGTGAAGACTTAAGGTAATGGCTGAAGCCGCTGTATGGTAAGTACTCAGAGCAGGTACCAAGTTTTGTCAGGGAGCGGAAACGAGAAAAAATTAAAAACTTTTACAAACTATAGCATATCAAACATTGTGAGACATCATCTACCACGACTTGTGGCGGGAATTGAAGTACAGATGATATCCTTAGTACATAGAAGTTTTCTCCCAAAGTTACTATCAAATGTTAGTCAAAGTAATTCAAATCCTATGGCGATTATAGGAATGTAATTAATAATTTCGCCTCAAATACTGGCCGTCCCGTGTCTTTAAAAAACATGGCTATCAATTGTCTCGAACACTTCAGTAGATTTTTTTGTCTATCCAAATAATATTTTGTTTAGATGGTTAAGAAGATCATACATTGAAACCAACGGTTGTTACTTATCTGCAGTAAGAGCGAACGTTGTGTGGAATCCATCACTTACACGTTTTTATAGCATGACAAACCACCTCGTAAAAAAGTATATATATATATATATATATATATATATATATATATAACTTTATAGCATGAAAAAATAAAACTAGTGAATTGATGGAGCCTTTCATAACCACTATCAACGACTTTGATGCCTGAAAACTAGTTTATCATTGCACTAACTAGCCGATTAATTTGTATTCATCTTTCATTTTAGTTGAGCTCATTTTCCGACAAACAAACGACAACCCCATATGATGAGTCCCTATTCAATAAGTTGGCACATGAAGTTCGAAAAACGCTCAAAATTGACTTGTTTGGGATAGATCTCATTTGTGCAACCGAAAATCCCATATCTGATACTCTCTCGAAATCAAACAAATACGCCATTATCGATTTAAATATTTTCCCAAGTTAGTGAAATGTTATTATATTAACTATAATGAATCCATCTGGACTAAGGATCAGAATATTTTGATGTATGTTTGATATTTTTTATTTTAGTAGAGATCTGACTGGTGTGGATCAGAAATGGTACTTATAGTTTGTGTTACCCAGTGGAAACAACGAACAAAAAACTTGTGTAGGTCTTTTATCCGATGTGTTTTGCGCACGTCTGTAGAAATGTTTCAGTCTTTATAGTGAAAGTAATCGGATAAACCAAACGTCACCCTTTTAAAAATAATAAATACAATTAAACAGAAACTATCATCCTGTTAATACGCTTTTTTTTAAACGGATAATTAGTTCATTTTTAACCTGTTTGTATTTTATACCATGTTTTAGGCTACAAGAATGTGCATGGGTTCTTATTTTATTTAGAGAATCTAATCAGGGAAAAACTCTCCTTGCCTTTACTTTCTAATGATAGTAACGATGTCCAGAAATAACACGAAGTAGTGATTTTTATTATTATCACGAATACCTCATAGCTGTTGCTAAAATTTGAAGCGAAATTCATACTTATTTTTATAAGACTTTTGTGAAACTTCATTTTGATTTGTTCTTAAAAAATGGTTTATATTGTTTTTCCTTTATTACTATGGTCAGATTTTTTCTACTCTTATGCAATATACTTATCGCTTTTTACGCTTCCTTTAGCATTATTTGACTGTACTACGCATTATATTTATGTTAATTGGTACGAATAATATAAGTTGGAACGAGTCCTTCAAAGTTCTTAGTATATTGTTTTTTCACTAGACTAAAACTAGTGTAATTAACTTTCACCGAAATGTAATCAATCCTGATATGTAAACATCGTGCTCAGAAAGAAACTAGTTACGTCTACATTGAACTAAATAATGCTGCAACGAACAAAGGCAAGGTTTTATTTGTTTGGTTTAATTTACACAGTGAAACGATTCAAAATAATTGTCTCCAGTGTAATCTGAACATCGATGAACCAATATACATTTTACCACGCACAAACTTTTACATTCCAATTAAACTTGACAATTATTAGTAACTCAGTGATGGGAGAAGAAACGAAGATTAAATATGTACTGTCTCAAATTGTAGTCCTCAACAGTATGATTTTCTTCCTTTAAAAAATAATGTTACTTGATTTATTTGATACGACATGTAAGAGAGGTAACCTAAGTAAGAATTCAAGGATGTCCAAAAGCAATAATTTAAAAAGATACTACCGTCTCTAGCTGATATGTAAATCATATGGCGCAGTAACAGTATATAATTGCATACCTTGCTTTGACTTCCACTTGCGTACAAAATGGCGAAATTAGCTAATTGTGGCGAGTGGAAGTTTATTCTTAGTCATGCAAGAAAATAAGCTTCTTAGAAGTCCTTTAAGACGGTCGAAAGTAGTAGGGAAATAGGCAGTATTTCTGATGTTGACAGCAGTCAAAATAAATCTTCTGTAACTGAAGTATTCAGTTGTCTCTTCTAACTTGCTTCATTCTGGCTTTATCATCATCTCATAACGAGTCTTTGCTAGTATCAGGAATGGTAACTAATACACGGCAACCTTTTCAATAAAAAGGTAGCAGTATCTCGTATACAGAAATGATTGGGCATATTGCGTAGGTGCAATATCTTATTCTCACATTCAACAATTTTTAAACTACTTACTAATTCCAGTCGATGATGTTGCTTCCCTTCATTGAAATTATGCAAAAGAGTGGAAACTCAATGAGATAAATAAATTACTTGACTAGAGGTGATGACCAAAGCCCAAACAACGACCCTGACCCTATCAGGGATTTTATTAAGTAGCACCGGACACAACTTGATTACGTAAGTACTAACACGCTTGCTAGTGTTAAATCAGTATAATGTAACTAAGTGATTTACGTTTTCAAAATATATACCAGTATTAAATAATGATAAAGTTATACAAATAAAATATGTCGACTATAGTACTATCATTATCAAGTGTTGTAATGCAAAAACCGATTATTCAGAAGAATGTGTGCAATAGTAGTTTTATTGAAAAAATTCTGCTTTTTTGATTACAGGAATTTCATAAAGGAAGAGGTAATGCATCAACCGCAGTGTAACACTTGTCATACAAATCACCATACTGTTCATCCCGTGTTATAAAAACAATAGGTATGGGAGTAACTGAAGATACACATGCACCAAGGTCAAACTTTGACGGAACATAGCAATAAGGTATGTCGTGCTCCTCACACACCAATGGCACATGAGATATAAGATCAAACGGGCTAATATCACCGGCTAATACGACGATACCGGACACACTCTTCTTTTCTATGGCTTTTAAAATTGCTTTGATTCCAACATCTGTTTTCTTTACCCGTTTAGCTTTTCGAGCGAGCTTATACAAACGCTTTGTTAATTTTTTTGAAGCCATAGGCTGGGCGAACACACCTACACATTGTATTTGTTCCTCATAAGTACTTTCTGAACGGTTCTGATCGCCATTTAGACCACTGCTAATCCCAATTTCCGTCATTTAAATATACACTGATGTATGACGGCACGATAAGCAACTCGGTCTATAGAAAGAAAACCTTTGATGATGGTAGGAAATTACTTTTAAGAAGATACTTATTCTTTACACATTTGAATTATTGCTACTCGTGATTTACTAGTTTGTGATAATCATCACTTAAACTATATTGCTCTTAAAAGAAAAAACCTAAAACATTAACAATGTTTCTAGTGCTTAACGTACTTTATTCGGTTATATCAAACGTCCTGGACTTCAGAATGTCTTTAATGTCCCTAAAAATGTTGTGAATCCCGTTTAAGTATCGTAATATATACTTTTCCAGCTTTATTTGTAATTTAGATGTGCGTTGTGTTTAGAGAAATATTTATTTAATCACTGACGAACTGAAATTTACTAGTCAACTCTTCAGTTTATTCACTATTCTTTATACCTATTCTTTCATTAATATACTCCTACCTTAACCAAGGTGCAGCATCGAGGTAAACGGTGACAAAACATAAAAAGTATATATCCTACACAATTTAGTCGAATAAGACTGACCGTCTAACTAGCTGATTCCCAACTCTGCCTAATACTTTACACCTAACCTTAGAATTTCTAACTCGGTTATCCCACCAGACGCAAGGGGTGGTTTGAAGCCGCCGACGACTGAATACGTGAGGTCTATATATCTTCTATTTTATTAGGCTACGTTTATGATACTGAGTCAAAAATAAGAATATTGATAATTTAAGTATGATAATGAACCACTTTAAAAATTAACTGATATTTGAAAAAGATCGGCGATTATTTGTCTTATTACATTATTCTTCCATGTCCTGATATATATTTAACTTTTGACTTGTATTTGGTATAAAACCCCTTCTTATATTATGGTCATCTGGATGTACTTACAAATTACTGGAAAAGAAATACTTATATAAAGAATGCTACTTCTCCAAACAAGATATGTATGTTTCATCTTATTAGTAGTTGGGGGTTGGGTCGATAATATTAAAGGGAATCTAGATGCGTTCAATAATTCCTTACAATATTTTTTAACAACTCAGATTGCGTACTAATGACCAAGTCTCACAACCATCAGTCAGTCATAACGAACGTAGAGCCATAGAATAATACAGAACAAAACTGCTGCGTGATATACTTGATACTTGTCAATTGGCAAATATCTACACAAGTGCTGCATTGGTACTAAAATTTCGTGTTTACCGGGATCAAATATGGATTGTTAGTCAGTGTATTTTTTTAATCGTTCCTGTCAATCAGTACTATACCATAAGTGAGGATTTGGAGGCGCTCAGATGAGCGTCACTTGGAGTTTACAACTCCGATGAAAATTTGCTACAAGATCTGGTCCGACTGATGTTTAAACACAGTCACCACAACGTTTAAGCCCCCTTTCGGCACATTTAAGGAACACAGATACGAAACCTCCGTCGACGGAATCAAATAATACCAAGGTATAAAAAAGACAGTCCGTAGCCAAGTGCTAGTAAATATGTCTGTAACAGAACCTGACGAAAAGTTAATGGGTTACAAGCTAATTTGACTTCGAGAGTCTGTTGTTTACCAGCTTGGTCTAAGTGTTGCATGACTTTGTAATACATAATTGGGTCTCAGACACTAAATGCTGAGTCGACATTTCGTAAATGTAGATTTTAGAGCTTGTCATAAAAGGCTTTGGTATGTGCTCAGTTCACTGAATTTGCATGTGTAAAGAAACTGTACTGTTGAAGACAAAATATAAGTGAAATAATTGCAGCCTATCTACTAACAAATGTCTCCTCAAGATGAAACAGTGACTAGTTCAGGATCCAAGAGGAGGCCGAAATTATTAACTTCCTCTAATTTATTAAGGATGAAAAACCAAACAGGTATAAAGTACATCAATAAGAAAATCGTTTAATAAGTATATATCTAGTCAGAAGTTTCTTCGTTTATTCTAGTATCCGTTGTATGTAAATAGTTTATGGATGTTTACTGATACAGAACTTAATACCTCAGATTTCATTGACCGTAATTTAAACTTTAGCATGTGGTGTATTTTTAATTAATAAGGATGTCTTATTGCAATTTTCGTTTTCGAAACCTGATATACAACACATTAGAACCCACCTTATTGTCTACACGCTAGTTAGTCAACTATTGCGCTAAGTAGGTCAATTGATCAAGGCAATTAAAGTCATTTAAAACAAAAACCTCGATGTATGATTCTTAGTTGAAATACGTTTAATAGTATTAAAACTCGGTTGATTAGTGATAACACTTGTTGATGGACCCTGTAGTTATTAAGAAAGAAACTGTTTTAAGCCTACTCCAGCATCTCAAACCTGATAAGTCTAGTGGTCCTGATGATATTCATCCTCGGATTATGAAAGCCCTCTCAGATGTTATTGCTGAACCCTTAGCGATGCTGTTCGATATGTCCCTACGGCAGTCCAGATTGCCCAGAGACTGGAAGGACGCAATAATCAGTCCGGTGTATAAGACTGGGGGTAGGGATTTAGTTAGTAACTATCGTCCCGTCAGCTTAACTAGTGCAGTTGTAAAACTAATGGAAAAAATTATTAGGATGGCTGTTATAAACTACGTGGAAAGACATGATCTTTTGTCAAAGGAACAACATGGTTTTCGAAAAGGTCTGTCATGTTTGACAAATCTTCTCATTGCAAGAGAAGATTGGGCTGAGGCAAAAGATCGCAATATTCCTGTAGATGTCATTTTCATAGATCTAAGTAAAGCCTTTGATAAGGTTTCATATACTGGTCTTGAATTGAAACTAGAAAGTTTTGGAATTCATTATGCAGTCATAGACTGGCTAAGTGACTTTCTTCATGAAAGGAGACAACGGGTAAGAGTAAATGGGGCTCTCTCATCGTGGGAACCAGTAAAAAGTGGCGTCCCCCAAGGCACGATTTTAGGTCTTCTTCTCTTTTTACTTTATATAAATGAATTACCAGCTATAGCTAAGTCATCCGTCCTACTATTCGCCGGTGACATTAAGATTTGGAGACCCATATATAGTATGTCAGACAGAATAGTTTTACAGGAAGATCTTAACTCACTAGTTGCATGGATGAATGGGTGGTCACTAGAAGTAAACCCTAATAAAAGTGTTGTGATGCAATTAAATAACTACGATAATTCGTATCACTACACATTATGTGGACTAGTGTTGCCCAAAGTAAGAAACTATAAAGATTTAGGAGTCATACTAAGTAATGATCTCAAAACAAGCAGTCACTGTAAGGCTGCTGCTGCAAAAGGCTATAGGGCATTATGGTCTATTCGTAGATCTTTCCGGTATCTGGATGGGGAGATGTTTAGATTATTATACCCAACTTTCGTACGGCCACATTTGGAATATGGGATTCAAGCAGCGAGTCCTTGTTTCAAATATGAGGCGGATATGTTGGAACGAGTCCAACGCCGCGGGACAAAAATGGTAAAAGGCTTATCTAGCCTATCTTATGAAGACAGGCTGAGACACCTTAACTTATTTCCGTTATCTTACCGGCGAATACGGGGTGATCTAATATTGGCATATCGTATCCTGAACGATGACCTTGGTACTAACATGTCCTATCTTTTCCTCCCGTCTAGGGCTGAGCATTTGAGAGGACATTCAAAGAAAGTCCAAAAACGGAGATCAAATCGTCTACGTCTGGAGTTTCGTTTCTCGCACCGAGTAGTGAATTACTGGAATTCTCTACCAGAACACGTAATATCAGCACCTTCTGTTGATATATTCAAGACGAGATTGGACCTCCACAGTGTAACAAACTGCAAGGATTAAAATAGGTCACTAGACCTTCTATCCTTATTACTGAAAACTGAAGACTGAAACACTAACTCAACTGACATAACCCCACATAGTAGTTAATGTCCGCAAGCACTAACGAAATTTTTCAGTTTGGAAAGGACAGGAGGCTTGATGGCCTTTGTTAGTCCTGGCAATAATCCAACTTTTTTTGAAGGAGTCTACGGATGGAGCCTCAACCACGTGCTGAGGTAATGAATTCCACACGTTGATGTTTCGATGGGAAAGTCGGTAGTCAGCTGACAAGTAATTCGTTCTGGGCTTGTGAACTTTTTTGGAGTGTCCTCGTTGATTTTCTGTTTTGGAAGACAAGAAAAATGAGGGCATATCAGGTGAAAATTTATCACTGAGCAATTTGAAAACTGTAATCAAGTCGCCTCTCGTTCTTCGATGTGACAGCGGGAATAGGTTTAGCTTAGTCAATGTAGAACCATACGGGAGCTTCGCTTTTCCGGGAATCAGCTTAGTCGCTGTTCTCTGAACCCTTTCCAAGAGTTCACGGTCTTTTTTAAGCAGGGGCTAGCTGCTTTTATGCAGTACTCAAGTTCAGGACGCACAAATATTGTATACAAAATCTGAGATGTTTTTGCGTCGAGCTGACGAAAAGCCCTGCTTATGGACCATAAAGTCATAAAACCTTTGGCGGCTATAGCACGTTAGTGTGCAGTAGCCTTTAAGTCTTGACTAACGATGACTCCTAAGTCATTGTGGACAATAGTAGCTCAATGTTATTTATCGTGTATGTATCTGTACCCTGGTGGCCAATATGCATCATAATATACTTGGAAGTGTTTATCGGCAATTGCCAGGTTTGTGACCATTCAGATAATTTTTCCAGGTTGTTTTGGATCTCTAAGCTATCACCCTTACTTTGTATCGCTCTCCATATCTTGACATCGTCAGCATAGAGTAAGACCGATGACGATAGTAGACGAGGGAGGTCATTTACGTACAGGAGGAATAACACTGGCCCCAAAACTGTACCCTGGGGGACTCCACTAAGCACATTTTCCCAGCTAGACAACTTGGAGTTCACTCGTGTTCTTTGTTGACGTCCAACTAGGAAGTATTTTACCCACATCAATAGATCACCTCCAATCCCGTTATCCTTAGCTTATATAACAGCCGGTTATGCGGAACTTTGTCGAAAGCTTTGCTGAAATCGATGTAAGCTACGTCTATAGGTAACTTTTGGTCCTTAAGAGCGTACCAGCTTTCACGAGCGACTAATAAGTTAGTGAGGCAAGCGTGACCTGTTCTAAAACCATGCTGCTTTTCGGAGAGGATCCGGTTTTCATCGACGTACTTAAACAGCCCCTTCCGAATAATCTTTTTTAAGATTTTAACAACCACACTAGTTAGGCTAATGGGTCGGTAATTCTCAAGTTTATGTTTCGTACGTGTTTTGAAGACAGGACTGACTATGGCGTTCTTCCAGTCTTTTGGTAGACGACCCTGGGTTACGGAGAGCTTAAAACGTATACTTAAAGGGTTCGCAACAAAATTCGCTGATTCCTTTAGTAACCTAGGATGTAGTCCATCGAGTCCGGTGGATTTGCCTATGTCAAGCTTATTTAGCAGACCAAGGACATCGAGTTCCTTAACGGTCATGCTGTCCGGTGATTGTGTGGTGAGATTTTCATGGACCGGTGTGAAGGGTATTTTCATGGTACATACATTGCTAAAATATTTTGAGAATACTTGAGCTTTGCCAAAGTCGTCCTCCACTAGATATGAGGCAGTACTGTCTCCCCATAATGAAGGGACATTTCTTCTTCTTTTCGTCCTATGGTTTATATACGAATGCAAGTGTTTAGGGCATTCTATGGATTCCTTAACGATTTTCACTTCTTACAGCTTTTTGGACTTACGGAGGGTCGAGACACAGGTATTCCGAGCTTTTTGATACTGATATTTTGCCTCATCAGTCCCCAGTAACTTAAATTCATCCCACAATTTCCTTTTTTTACGAGGAAGGATGCGAACCATGCTGAACCATGTTTAGGAGTTTCTCGGCCCCCTAGGTGTAGTCCAAGGGATGTGGGGGGCGGTAACTTTTAAGTATAAATTTCGGAATACGTCCGAAGCCGTGTCGATTGAAGACTCTGGGTCTCTTGTCCGATCTACTAATGATGTTGAGTGCATGATGTCTTGTATGTTTGCTTTCCAGACGTTAGGTCTAGATTGAACTGAGGCGTGCTCGTGATCGACAGTCATATGGAAGTCAAAGCTTAAAACTGCATGATCACTTTTGCCTAGGGATGACATGTAATCCAGGTTTGCAACATCATCCTCATAGTGAGTCAGGTAAGGATGATGCAGAGCCCGGGGCGTACATAGTTGCTTCTTCCACATGTTGCACTAGGGCACATGTGATTAACGCATCAAATAGTTCTTTTTCGAAGGAATTATCTGACGATTCAGTCCGCTGATTTCCCCAGTCCGCCATGGGTACATTAAAGTCCCCTAGGTTTAAACATCGATCACTTCGTGACAAAGTGTTGAGACTGCTTAGAAGGACCTCATTTGCCTCACAGCTTGGACTGCGATAGATCAAATCAAGCAGCAGCTCTTGTCCCTTGCATTTCAGGCGGCAGCTAACTAATTCATACGTCCCACTCTCATGGGATACACTGTCGATAACGGTGAATGGAATAGCAATCCTAATGAATGAAGCTACTGCCCCTCCTTTTCCCTTTTGTATTCCATCGGCCCTTACTAATGTAAAACCTTCGAAATCAAGTTCCCTTCTATCTTTAGACGGCGTCAGCCAAGTTTCTGTGACTGCGATTATGTCTGGCTTAATAGAATCAATCTGTACACCTAGTTCAGATCGCTTAATGAGCAAGCTCCGGGCATTGGTGTAACACATCCGAAGCCTATTTAAGTGGCCTCGTGCTTCACCCAGAGTGGTTTCGGCATCACCCTCTGTCGAAGCCTCACAACCCGAAAATTTACAATTTTCAGGTCTTTTCGCCAGCATCCAATTTGAGCCGTAGTTCTTTTTCGGCTTCCCGTCTTTTTACACGGTCCGCCAGCGGTAAGTCCTTACGGAGAAGAACTCCTGAACCCTTTCATTTATGTCCATTTTGTAAAATTAGGTTACGTTCGTTTGGAGATTTGAATACTGCTTTGAGCAGTCTAGACTAATTAAGCTTCAAATTCGCCAGGCTACTTAGTCTATATACCTTAAGCAAGGTGACTCCGGAGATGTTTTGGGGCATAACTTGGTTGAGTAGTTGTTTTATCAACACAATGTCATGCTCAAACCGAGCTTTTGGTTCTGAGCTCTCACTCTCCTTGATTCTGTAGAAAATGACTGATCTGTCGCTGTGATCAGACCGGCTTTTCGATTACGTTGGTGGGGGTAGGATTCCCTTTCACGTCGTTTTTTCCCTACGACCCGTACCCAATCGTCGACGTTATTTGGAGTAGTGACCACAGTTGCGTCAGGCGTACTATGGGATTCCGGAGGGTTGAGGACGACTTGGGAGGTTGGGTCATGTTTCGCGCTGGAAACCAACCGAGCCTTGCAATTTCGGCTTCTGGAATTTCCCTTCTGGGTACCATTTTGAAGACAGAAGAGACTTTTTTCTCGAGTTTCTGGTTGGGATAGACCTCTTCAGTCTGACTATAAACATTAATTCACGTATGGCTAAATTGAGTCAGCTGTAATGCCTTCTCCAATTAAATTTGTAGCCTCCTCTCTGTCTTCCTGATTTTCTGTTCGGATCAACGATTGTATATAATAAACTCATTCAAACTTCATTCTCGTATTTTAGTTATTCGATTCCACTATTTCCTAACAAGAGTTAAGTCGATGATTAGATATGAAGATAGCCAGGATGCATATTTTGACGGCGATCATCTGATAGCAATCAGAAACAATCTGTGTGGAGTCGAATTAAGGACAACTAAACACTTTCTTCCTTCTCTGCAACCAAATAAGAATAGAGTGGAACCTACCCAGAAATGACTCCTTAAACCACTTCGGCTGCCGAAGTGAAAGCTTTCTAAAAAACGCAATTGGATATTGCCTATTTACTTTCTAGTATATATAAAAACGGAAGGTAACATCGAAAGTGTGAAATATTATCGATTGTTCACATACTTTTTATGCCAATCGACTTGACTCTTGTTACTGTCGGAATTCCCAACGGTGTACGCATAACAGAATTGGAAACGAAGTTGTGGAAACTGTTCATTATAAACGTAACACAAACCAAACGATCAGCAAGCACGAACTTATGGTTAAAAAATAACTTTTTGAACTAATTGATGTGATTTAGATGCAAACGTTTTACAGCATCGGAGTTATCAAGTGTTTCAAGTAACTAACATTTAGACTCGTTAAGAAAATAAATGCGTGTGCCATCATATGAAGCATGCCATATATGTTTGCACAAAGATGAAGACATATGTGTGTAAAGATATAGAAAAGTGATTGCCGACAAAATCAACTTTTGATTTCCTGTGAACAGGTTGAGTAAGTAGTCTAGCAAATTTAAACACTTGCAGTTTTATATGGGGATGGGGGTTTGTGGTAACTAGGAGTATTTGAATTGTAGCACAAATTAGGAATTCCAGAAATAACTCATTTCAACCAAGAAGTACTAGATGAGCATGAATGAATGTATTGTATTTGGAACTCGAAGTCAAGTAGTCATCAAGAACAAAGGAATCGTTAGTTCAGAAAAACGCCACGGGGTTCCATAGTGATCTACGTACCAGAATGCCAATTTGGGCTCAATTGCAATAGACTCTCTGAGAGCAACATTTGCAAGTTAGAAAGTCAGAAAACCAAAAGGAATTATAGGTATTCCTTTTATTTTCCGAAAGTGAGCGAGTCTTGGACTTTCTTGTCTGCTAAATTGGTCCTGGTAACTTTCTTGGGGTCCTTTATGATAGATAGATAGATAGCGCCTTACACTAACTTGCTTATGCCTCTCTCATTTATTCTTGTTTCATGTACTTTGGTCTATACCCGGATGGATCGACGAGCCGTTGCTTCTAGATACGGTATCTGATAAGGCAGAAATGTGTCTTACCCACAACTTTTTAAATGTGAAGACAACAAATCATGTCATCAACAAAAGGTAGAAAAAATGGAGGCTAAGTATTTGTTTCGAATGCTTGTTTAGTTTTGTAATATAAAGTAGTATATGTAACAGCGGGAAGGACGTCCTATTATGGCGGGCTAGATAAGAAGCTAGCTTTTAGCCTCTTGTATGATTAGTCTGTAGAAGTAAGTGTAGAAACAATTTTATATGAAATCAACCACTTAAGTGACATAATACACCTAAAAGCACCCCAGATGGAGGTGGACACTGGCTCTATAGCCAAATGTGCACCGGAATTGTATAACGTCTCTTCCACATTAGTTAACGTCAAGGAAGTCACAGATAACAAAGCATTCAATGATTTTAAACCATCAAAGCCAAGTCCCGAAATAGTTAGCCCAGTTACTGAAGCAGTAATCACCGGATCAGACCCCAAGGCCCCCCAAAACTGTGATGATACGTCTGCAGGACCTTCAGTTGCCCCTGCCGTTGTAAATAGCAATGTTGGAAAGTATCGTCTCTTACGTACCATAGGAAAAGGAAATTTCGCAAAAGTCAAGCTTGCTATACATATGGCCACTGGCGTGGAAGTAAGGTCTGATACAGTTTCAACATTTCCAGGTTGCCATAAAAATAATTAATAAGACCGTCATGGATAATACTCTCCTCAAACGCGTAAGTAAAGAATTATTTATAATTTTTACCAACTAGCTTAAACGTGAGATAACCATCATGAAAGGTACAAATCACCCAAACATTGGTAAGTTTTGATCAGTCACCTAAGTTTGTAGTCAAACTACTCGAGATAATTGAAAATGAAGATGTTCTCTGTCTTGTTATGGAATATGCTAGTGGAGGTATTGGTTATATTCAATAAATTGATACCCCAGGTGAAATATTTGACTATCTTGTCGCGAATGGGAAGATGTGTGAAAAGAAGGCACGTGTAAAGTTCAGACAACTGCTATCTGCCATGCAGTATTGTCATGCAAAACGGATTGTCCATCGAGACTTGAAGGCAGAAAACATCTTGCTTGACCAGAATTTAAACGTTAAGGTTGCTGACTTCGGCTTGGCCAACACCTTCGAATCTGATCAAAGGTTGACTACTTTTTGTGGCAGTCCTCCATATGCCGCTCCAGAACTGTTTTTGGTAAGCATCTATAAATTCCAATGTATGATTCTCGATCTTGCAATATATCACTTCATACTCCCAGTTGTAGTGTTACTTCTTTCTTAATTGGTTTATTTTTAACTAAAAGTTTTGGTTTCGTATCTAACTGAGTCGCATATGTCTTGAGGCCTCATTGAACAGTTAAACAGTAAACAACTTAGAGACAAAATATCATGTTTCTTTTCTGCTGATTTTTTAAGGATGCCCCTTCGATGATGGAAATAAACCATAGAAGCATTTATACCCGAAGTATAAAGTGGCATGGTAGTAAACGGGACATTAATTCTTAGGGAAATGGCTGCATTAAAAATAAAGATTATTTTGCTGCTGGGAATTTGTGATAAATCCACCTGAGTCAATTATATGTTGGTCCTAGTTGAGTGTAAAGATAGTGTATAAATTGTTACTACATTAAAAGTGTATAAATGATGCACATCGTCACTGCAATTAAATAGATGTCATTCATATTTATTTATTTGAACACAGTACAAAGGGGCACCGAGTTGGACTTCCTTGGCAGTGGCTGTATACGCGTGGTCATTTATAGTTTGTAAATAAATGCAATCTACCTGCTAAAATGGATATTTAACTATATCAGTTTACTGTCCTACCGAAAGTTCTGTCCTTTCTAAGCATCCTGAAGTCACTAAATGCCGGTTTCTCAAAGATTGTCACTTAATGTGATGACAGATTAGGCCATTCCAAGATCTTGCGTTGGTTAAAAGTATATTTCGTTTTACGTTTACACTTTAGTGCGAACTAGTAAACCTCAATGGGACGCTAGAATATATCTGTGATATGTCAGTGACATGTATACAAGATTCCGAATCCTGCCACTTAAATTACTATTGACATTTCAAAAATAGCTGTGAAGGAAGTTAGTCTTGGAGACATGATTCCTATACACTAAAAGACGTTTTTACTCTAAATATATGGAATAAATTTTCTCATTGCTTAAGCTACTCAAATCGCATGTCATCAGTCGGTGATCGGAGTTCGTCAGTACACCATATTTCCCGTCGTTGACGTGTTTATTTCTTAATTGTACGTGAAATATATCTTGGTAACATTTGTACTAAGATGCTTTTTGTTAACTTGGAAAAGGATACTGTTGGTTTTAAATTCTCTATTTTATGATTCTGTTTTATTTTCATTTGTGATACTTTTACAGGGAATTCCGTATTATGGGCCTAGTGTAGATATTTGGTCTCTTGGTGTGATTCTGTTTACTCTGGTTTTGGGACATCTCCCGTTTGATGCACGTGATCTTCGTGAACTTCGGAGCAAAATATTGGGATTGCACTACACTATACCTCGTGGTGCCGTTTCTTCAGAGTGCGACACACTGTTAAGGAAAATGCTAGTTCTCGATCCTAAAGATCGTTCGTCTTTAAAGGTAGGCCTTCAGTTCTTCTAGATTTACTGATTATTATGTTTGATGTAACCTAAGTTCATAAACTATCAATTGCATGCTAACGAAGGATGGATAGCAATCGGCTTGTCTTCTGTTTAAAATTTCCTAACGGAATAGTTCGAAGGTAACATTTGTAAACATTTTAGAGTATTTAAGTATTCTCATGTAATTCTGTTGGCCTTACTTCCAAAGCTATATTATAGATCAATCACTTTCAGTACGACTCACCAATCAAGCTTGGATTCTTGTAATCGATCATAAGCCACGTTTTATGTATGGGTTAGTGATCAAACTGAGCATATGCTTATAAAGTAACTGTTCTTTTGGTCTAACGTGTGTAGTGAGGAGTACACTTTTTGCCCATGATCGAAGAGACGATCGTGATCGATACTTGAAAATACAATGTTATGGTCCAACAACATTCTCAGTGTTTCAGTTGTATATGTGTATTGTTTCAGTCGGAATGTTAGACACCATATATCCCTGCTTCAGTCTGGGCACCCCGCCAGTACCACAACCCACACACAAATCAAGTGACTATTGACATTTCAAAAATAGCTGTGAAGGAAGTTAGTATATGTATTCGGTGCCCCTTTGTACCAACAATTATGTGTTCAAATTAATAAAATAAATAAACACCTTATTATCCTATGTATATTATGCCCTGTTTCTGTTTGCTCCATTTTATTTAACTGCTGTTAGTATAATTTTCTTTTCTATTTGTTGATCATTCTTTAATATGCAAATGTAAAGTATTGCAACAGAATGACACACCTTTACGTCAAATCTATCATGTATTTCTTCTGTTCATGGTTGGTTTGAATATAATTCCTGTTATTGTCAACTATCAAATCAGAAACGACGTATAGCTAGTTAACCAGCTTATTCTTAGTTTTGTTTGTTGCTGCTTGTGTGAATTTGAAATTTAGTGTCTGTATGTCAGTAGGACTGAATGAGTTTTATAGAAAATAGTTAGCGTCTCCTGGATATGTGACTTGATATTTAAAGCATTCAACTTTTTAAGTGTTCTGTATCTACCTCAGTTTTTTCATCCGCGTAGTATCACCAGCTGTCACGTAAAATGTCGGGTACAACCATGTGCACCTCGTTCCTGAGTTACGTTAAAATAATGCTTCCTATTATTTCATTGCGTCTTAAATTTTAAGTTTCAACTGTCATTTTTCCATTTCATCTAACGAAAGCTGTGTAACGTTTGAGTTGTATTTAAGTCAACTGTTCCTCAACTTTTGGAATTGGGTATTTTTGCTTTTGTATACTCTTTTAATAGCGATTTTGTAATTGCGAGTTAGTGGTCTAATAGACCAACTTTTATCACCTGATTTGGGGATTTCAATCCATTTTTTCTACTTCAATCTGAGAATTCGGGTTTCATTGATAATCCCTGTACATTAGACCTGCAGCCTGAATTTCAGACTAATCTGAATTACTTGTTTTTATTTGATACGTTGTGAGGTAAGTATTTTTTTGGAAACTACAAAAAGAAACATGATATCTGGAAGTTGGCGTAATGTTTTATGAGATCATTTTGAACTTCATAAAACATTAGAATTTGACTTTCCTAAATAAATTCTTACTAACCAATGGAGTCATTTGCCGAAGTAAGTAGATAATAGGACTTTATTTTGTGCACTTTGTCAGACCTCGTCATTGTATTTATAAATTAACAAAATAATGTTATGTGATGTATAAAAGGGTTTAGGAAAAAAATCAACCAGTTGCTTTCCTTTCCATCATTTTAAATTTCTGGTCTTGTTAAGGTTCCGATTAAATGTCTGTTCTTAAACCATACTAATTTCTTTTCATTTCTGTGTATAGGATTCATAACAAGTATGTAAGTGGGTACTGTATAAACTGTAAAACTAATTTAACCTTTTTAAAACTCTTTTCAAGTCTTTGATGCTTGACAAGTGGGTAAATATGGGCTACGCTCCAGATGATCATCTTCGTCCTTATAGAGAACCACTAAAATCTCAACTGGATGACAGTCGTGTGAAAGCCATGGAAGAAATGGGGTTTACAAGAGCTGATCTGGAGTCGTCGGTAGTTAATCCTGCATTCGACCATGTGTATGCAACTTACCACTTATTGCCCGAAACACCATCTCAATTGGTTGAGTAAGTGTTTAGAAAATCCATTAAAAAGTTACCTGAGGTAGTACTTTTTATTTTATATTGAAATCGGTACTGATCTGGATGACAATAGGACTTAGGGTATCTATCAACCCACTAGATTCAATTTGGTCATGGTTTGATATTCTTCGGCAATATACAGTCACGATCATACACGGAACCAAGCTTAGGGTCTTTGAGTCTTCTGATGACCACGCTACTATCCAGCCATTGAGTGCCATAGGTGGACATTTGTTTTACTACTGAATTGGTTAACGTGACAGATCACGACCTTTCCATAGAATCACAGGTTCTTTATCTTGATACAGGTCACTGATGCTCACTAGACTTTTGATTTGGTTCTCTAATAATAGAAACACGGTTGTTTCTTGTGTATTTGGTTTCGTTTTCTAGTCATCCGGACTGTCTTCCTCTATTTCTAATAAAGAGCTCGATTCTGTTCACTGAATATATTGTGTATATTTCTATTTTTCGGTCTTATTATCCAGCTAGCATCTGTACTATGCTCTATGTCTATGAGGTCTATATGTCAGTTCTATTGCCAAAGTTTTATATTTAGATATGCGAAAATAAAAGGGTTGTGTTGCCAATGTTTGCTACCAGTTAGTTACAATAGAGCACATGACTTGATAATCTACTTACTGATTTGTGAGTTGTACGTCATGAGGCCAGTCATTACTACTTAAAAATCCATATAACTGGGTGTTATCTTCAAAAACAAATGTAACAACCTCATGTATAACTGTATAGTTTATAGAGATCCTGGTTTATCATATGTTTACGTATAAGTAATGTAGGAAGTACAAATCTGTTTATTGTTTAATCATATATCGGCAACAGAAAACAGTAATTTTGATTTTTTTTACTATGGTAACTAACATATTTGTCCCGGATATATTAGGTATTGGGCTGAGAATTTTATCGAACGGCATATTCGTGTCGATAACTTTATGGAAGTACGTAGGTTGTTGTACGTTAAACTGAACTAGATAGCTTTTACATTTGTTCATCTCTATAATCTAACTGTCAAGTTAAGTATGCCTGTCTCGGTGTCGTAGACTGTTTTCGGTTATAATATGCAGATATTTGAAACGACATCAGTTGAAATGGGCTGATTACTTTTATACCACGTAAGTTCTGCCTATGTTCTTAATTTAATCCTTTCTCTGTCTTACTAATTACAAAAAATTCATAAGTGGTTAACCTAGCAGCTTTTTTCAGAAAATCGCAGTCTCATGTTATCATATTTCTAGACCCCAAAAAGAGATGTAGATACACATGTTGCTAGTGATATCAATACTCGAATATCCAAGGGAGCTAAGTATAAGTCATTTCAAGTTTATTTATTTGAACACAGATATTGGTACGAAGGGGCACCAAATACATGTGCAACACACAGTAACAATGAGGTCAGTAGTAGTTATCAGTGGTTTGTTCGAGGGTTGTGATACTGCCTGGACGCCGAAATCAGAGCGGGGGGTTTTCTTAGAAGACCACACCCAGAGCCCTTGACCTAAAGGTCTACTCCACAGGGGGCAGTGGAGCAACGTTGAGGGTTGCGGTCCCATGGCAGTCGGCGACCAACGATTGGTTCATACGCCATTTGTTCCCTCAGGATCCTAGAGCCCATATGCACCATTGGTTTCGAATCAGGGTTTTCTAACTCCTCTGGGTGGAAACTGTGTCCACCAACCTGGTTGAAGCTCCAGACATTCGCTTTTCGTTCTCTCACTTTTGTAAACAACACCCTCGCCACGAGAAGTCAGTGAGTGGGACTTTCCTGGCAGAGGCTGTATACGTGTGGTCATGTGGGAGCATTTCGAAAGGGTGAGCGGACTCTTCCCACCCTCGGTCGTACCAGGGCATTTGAGGGCAATTTTAAGAGCGAGTTATGTGCTCACACTAGTTTGAGTTTTATAATCGGGTTACGATACCAGTTAGTTAACAGTCGTATGTTTTTACTACTCTCGATTTTATGTAGATTCCTCGTTCAGTTGTGTATAGAATCAAGATTAATGAATACTGACTGTCAAAAACTAATATACCTGTCCTCAACAAATGTACAAAAGCTTAGTGAGATCATGTAGCTTGCATTAGATAATGTGCGTTTATTGACGTGAATCCTCGAACATAAGTTTTGTGCTTGTTAGTGCTCATCAGCACAGTGTATTTAGTTGGATATTGTCTCCTAAAAGTGTCGGCTTACTAAAATACTGATGGTGACCATTATTCTTAAATTGACACTCATCTGTTGTCCTTACTTAATTAACAAGAAATCCGGTTTATAGCCTTGTTTGATTGCTTGATAAATGAATGTTTAGAAAATGTGTATCACGCACGTTTAGAAAGCTACTAGTACTGGTTATCTGGGATCGAAAATTCATATATGTATATATGCATATATCAATAAGTTTCTTCAAGTATCAGATTTATCATTAGAAGTTTGTGCATCCAGAGTTTGATTTTTTCTAAAGTACCCAGAAGTCTAAGAGTAAATTTTAAAGTTTATGTGTTTTCAGAATGTCTAACTTTTTACTTCGAATTTATATTATTTTGTTTGTTTGGTAATGTATACTTCATAAGTTATAATGTGTATGAAAAGTTTGGTATTGGAGCCATGTTCTAGCCATTGGATTTAAAGTTTTGACTACTTTATGTCCAACTACATTTAGACGACATTTCCAACCGTTACACAATGAATCAAGTCTATAACCAGCTGTTGATTGTTCAGTTGATGCTATTTATTTATATTCGAGTCTGCTGGTTACTATACAGTCTTAGTCATTAATAAATGTATTTCTTTATCGTGTTATTTCGTATTAAATCTTAATAGGCTTTGTAAAGACTTGGCTCCTGGAGCAGTTGTTTCACCAAATACAATCGTATTACCTAACTCTCTGCTTGCTCACGATCAGGATACTAAATCGACTCATAGTTGTTCTTCCGGTTCATCAGAATTGCCTGTCTCTACGAAGTCGACTGCTATTGGACGTTTCACAGTGGCTCCAAGTAATAAAGTCAATGAACCTACTAGTCATTCTTCCTCTGGACGTTATGCTCGGGGTAGTTTGACATCTGAATCTAACCAAGCTTCAGCACACCATAAGAATGTATATAATTTTGAATCTGCGAATCGAGAACATCATTCACTTACATCCGCACTGCCAGGTACTTTGAAACGAGCATTAATGCAAGTTAGTCGAAATTTCACTGGAGGAGGAACTCCTACGACAAGTAATGAAGAAAGTAGTAATCGTGGTACAGCACAAATAGTTACAGGTATTCATTCACCTTTTCATATTTCATTTGATCCTGTTTCTGAATTGTACTTAAATTTTGAGAATGCCAATTTTTAATCATCATTTTGGATTGAAGTAGTTAATTCTCTGTTAAATTCGAAATTTTCACTCTAAATGGAATAGCCTCTTAGTGACTATCTGTGTATCTACACTAGCCATGTTTAACAATGTAAGTTTCTCTGTAAACTGACTGTGTTTATGATGTCGAGTATTAATAGTGAACGTGAACTATGATCTTATTCATCAAGTTATTCAGAGTATTTAACACAACAATGAAGAAAGAGTTTCTAAAAAGTACTACTGTCCACAATTTGATCAAAGTAATAAAATACTAGTTGGTTGTTTGTTGACTAAGATTACTCAGTAGTGTTTTATTTATTTACAGTAAAATAAAGTAGGTGAAGAGTATATTCGGGATGTGGTCTCATAAGGAAACCACCTGCTTCTGTTTGGGCTTCCAGGCAGTATCTTAGCACTTATACAGCTCGCATGAAGTGTGGCACATATCTATTTGGTGCCTTCTTGTAGCAATATTTATGTAAATAAATAAATGAGGAGTATATTGAAAGACATTGGTTAAAGAATGAATAATTGAATCATTAGACTTCAGCTTATAAATGCGTTACCATAATCATTATCTTTTTTGGCGAAAAGCATAATGTACAAATAAACTTTTAGCATCTGAAATCTAGGCTATATGAAACTATTAAGTCGTTTGGGGATCTTATACACGTTTTAAAAACTATTTATTTAGGTGGTACTTCGTTGTCGGGGATGCTAGATCCCCAGAACTCACTTGGTAACTGTCTTATTTTCGTAATTTTATTTTTGAAATTTTAATTTCTTGTTTCCGCGCCAAAAGCGCCCATTTTCACCTCCACATCGTATTTCTTACTTAGGAGAATCTTAAATGTCATTGGTTCATTGTCTCTTTTAACATGCTATCTTGTAACGTTTCCTAAGGACATTTTTATGCTGTTATATATCAGATTAATCTGTGCTCGTTGTTGTTCGTGCTTTTGGCTGCTTATGGAATACATTTTCCCTCTTCTGAACTTGTACTTCTCTCTGCAGTTAGCGGGGCTGGTACGCTTCGAAATAGTTAGCTTATCTGATCATTGTGTCACTGATTCTTCGTTACGTTCTCAGGTTCAGGTGAACTCGTAATCTCTTCAAACATACCATTAGTGAAGTTCCACATAATCTTGTTTTTCCAATATTACTGCAGAAAGCATAACATTAGAGTAGTTTTAAAATCTTTCAGATGTTTTGGAGTCATGTTTGGATCTTCGTTCATTCAACAATGGGTATTCATCAATTAAATAAAATCCTTATGTGATTTATATTATTCCATAAATTCACTCAACTAAACTAACTTCAGATGTTGATTTTTAATGATAATTGGATAGTTTTGTACATTGTTCTTCAACTATGGTGTTAGTTATTGAAATTTAATTTACCTATTTCTGTTTGAGTAGCTACATTTTTTTTAGTTCGTAACAGTTCCCCACTCTTTTTACTTCTAAGTTTCAGCTTGTCGTATGATTATTGAGTTACACTTTTTCAGCCTCGAGAATATACATCCCCTTCATGTTCTCAGTAAATTCAGTAGTTTTTTTGTTACCTAAAGTTCGTTTCCCTATCGCTTCGCTTCATAATTCAAAGGATTTTTAATTTCTGTTGTGAATTTTTCATTAATTGTAAACATTAATCTCCATAGCTCTTCTGACAGTTTGGTTTCCATCTTTATATACTTCAGTATTTCTAATCACACAAAATTGTTATTATAGAGTAGGTTTAAATTGCTTTTTAATTGGAAATTTTCTTTATAACAATGTACGTAGGGTTTTAGTTACACTTCACTGTTTGATTTGAATCAACTTTATATATTGCATTCTAAAGTATTTTGGTTTGTTCCAGGATTGTGTTAGTTAAAATGACACCAGTTATAATCTTTCATTTAGCAACTTCACAACTATGTTTTATTTTTGTACATATTTAATACAACACTATGTCTTTTCTTATAGGACGTCATAATAAATCCGTGCCAAAATCTTCTGGAGGTGGAAGGTAGGTTAATACAAAACAAAACAAAATTGTGTGTAATATGAAAAGAGAATGTCTATAAATTTTTAAATCTTATTTAAGCTTTCGTTATCCTAAAACAGAGATAATGTGTAGTATTAGCAGACCCTCAGTATAAGTTTAAAGCTCTAAGATAGAGCTGGTTTACCACGTATAAATTCTTCTATTTAGCTTACAGTTTCATTTATTCTTTTATGACTAGCGATACTGACTGTCCAAACTGAGGGGTTCGAACTTGGAACCGAATAGTTGAACGTTAAATTCCTACGATTGATTGTTAAAATTGCTTAAAGTCTATTATTTATCTCGGCTAGTAGTGTTTTTTTGTTGATATCGTTATATAATCTTTAATCACTGGTTCATAATTTATCAACATGAAGTTTGAAATTGATGTTTTATTGTTTAACTTTCAGAGATGTTATCACTGCAGCACCTGTTCCGATTGGAGCTGTCAAAAAACATGGTTTTGGTTTGTCTCAACAACAGCAACAGACACAAAAACGTCAGCCTTCAAATCAACAGACTACTCCTCAGAATGCTCCTTCTGTAAGATCCAAAAGCCCAGCTGTTCGTAATCATTCTTTATCATCTAATACCTCTTCTGTGTCATCAGAAAGTCATGGAGCAGGTTATGCATCAGGAACGCAAAAAATGAATAAAGAATCCTCAGCTACAATGAAAGCTAGTTCAGACATGAACTATCGTGGTTCTTTAAACAACACTGGTCGCGATAGCGATAAAAGCTCCTTACAAGGAACAAAGAAACGAAATATGATAGATGCAAACGGAGCTAAAAATTTTGGTTCAAGCTGTACTCCATCTAATTCTTGTGCCGAAAACGAACTTCGAGAAAGAGCTACGACAATTGTTCAGGGCGTTTGCGAATCAGTTAATGCTTCCTCTTTGCATCATCAACACTCTGCTCCTCAGTCGATCTTGGAAGCAAAACAGGAATTTAAAGAGAATGATGATCGTTCTTGTTTAGTAGTACCGGGGAATAATAATGGACTTACTCGCAATGAAAAGTCAGAACTCAGTCGTAGTTTAACAACTATTGATCAGGCAAACCAAATGACCAACAATTCGGATAAAACCGCAAATGTTCCATCCCTTAATCCACAAATTAAAGTATTGCATACAGTCCAAGGCACAGAAGCTCTCGCTTTACGTCTAGAAGCTCTGCGTTTACAGTCTGTGAACTCAACGGCTAAACCATCTTCAAATCCTGAGGCAGCTGCAAATATGTGGGTGTTTAGTGATCTTTTTATGATTATCTTCAAGTACACCATCGTGTGTATTTTATGCATGCATTTTAGATTACATTCTCAATTTAGCGTGGTTATGAAAAAAATCTAGTATAGTATAGTTTTCCTGGTGTAAAGAATAAATTTCTTAATCCTTTATCTTACTAAATATGTCAGCTCATAGTGTTCTTTTGACGATTTTTCATACAAATGAAGTATATTTTTGTTGTGAATTTAGGCAGGACAGTTGGGAGATTCTTCCAATATGCAACGGGATTAATACTAACTGGATGATAGATCAGAAGACTAGTACGCAACACTTTAACAATAACTTCCTATGCGATTGGGAGAGAGAACATTTTTACAAAAAATATGCATTGATAAAAAACCCCAGACAAAATTGACTTTTTGTATAGTAAAATGATGTGCTTATCTACAAATCTTAACATAAAATAAGTATGATGAATTATTGTAAGCGATTGGAAGAAGGTAGTGTTTAGGTCACTCACCTGATTTTTAGGGCTAGTTTTTGGACATTGCATCATTTTTTAGCACACTTATAATTTGGGATTTCCACATTATTATTAAAGTCCATATTTAGATCCGTGGTAGTTGAGGGATTAATAGTAGGTAAATATTATCATTCTACATTTTAATAATATTCGAGTTTACATATACTGAAAGTATTCGTAAAGGTTTAAAGTCTATACTTTTGAGTCAATAGACGCTTGGCTTTCCTGTGATCTGATGTATGACTTAACTACGAAGTAGCACTCTTCTAATCCTTTTTTATCAGACTTGACAAATTGCAAGAAAAACTGTGTAATAAGCGCCGTTGTTGATATGATAGAGCTTACAAATCCCTTGACAAGTATTTGAGACAACCCAACTAGTATTAAGGTAGATGTTGTTCTATGATTCAGTGGACAATCCTTTTGAACACTAAACACCTCACTTTTACTCCCACAATTTCATTGGTTCATCAGTTAGCCGGATTACATCTTATGATTTTACAACCTGGTTACATGGGTCGATTAGTTTTCAGTTTGTCTTCAGTCAATGAATATTGTGACTGATAAGTGACAGGTCTGTTTGTATATCATCATAATCCGGCTATGACTTCAATACTGTTCACTTGATTGTCCCGAAATACACGGGCAATGAGTCAAAGTTACCTAACAACTTACAATTGTAAGGTCACATTTCGCAGCCATAAAGTAGAACAGAGCGGAGTGTTACGCACTATACTCGTCCCTTTAAGATGTCTGTCTGTTATATGCATATTGAATACGTATGACAAAGCATAGACATATTGTTACTATCTAGAATTTATCTCAATAATCTCCTCTCAATTTTCTTTGCTATAGAGTTGTGGATTCCAGTCATCAAGGTTCATGGGGCCGTGGTGTTCTAAAGGCATTAGGTGGATTCTTTGTACAAAGGTATGTTAGTTTTTTGTTAATTAAAATTGTATGTGTTCGTTGAGTTCTTATTTTCTCGTGTCTGTTCTTTTGTTAAAGAAGGAATGAATTTTGCTCTAATATAAAGCAAACATTTATTCCCTTGTGTCTAGGTGATGGCTTCTTTGCATATACTGCTATTCATTGAATACATAGATGTATTTAATTAATAGAAGCTGTTACACTTACAATACATGACAAGTCTTCAAGCAGGTATCCGTTTGATATTGAGACCCTATCGTATGATTAATGCCTCTTTTATAAAAACCTGTGCCTATACTGCACTGTTATCATTTCAGCCGAATAACTGAATGCTAATTCACCTGTAGCACTTCTAGAGTTACTGCCGGTCCCAAGCCCGGGTAAAGGAGGAGGGTTGGGCATGGGGTTAGCGACCCCATCCCGTAGAAAAGCTAACTCGCTAAAAAAACGCTAACCAGAAAAAATAATTCAAACCATTTAAACTCTGCCCTGGGAGTTGAAGGAATAATTATGACGTCTCATGATGAAAGCCGAAATTCTTCGGAAGTCACGAGACCAATGCACCTTCTAACAACCAGAGCAACACTCTTTATAGGTACATGGAACGTCCGGACAATGTGGGAGACAGGAAAGACCAGCCAAATAGCAATGGAAATGAGGAGATACAACTTGGCAGTACTCGGAATCAGCGAAACCCATTGGACACAAACTGGACAACAAAGGCTAGGTACAGGAGAGATGCTGCTGTACTCCGGTCACGAAGGGGATAATGCTCCACACACTCAGGGAGTTGCTCTAATGCTGTCCAAAGAAGCACGAAATGCACTTGTGGGATGGGAATCTCATGGACCCAGGATAATCAAAGCATCATTCAGAACAAAGAAGCAAGGGATCACAATGAACGTTATCCAATGTTATGCACCCACCAATGATAGCAACAACGATGATAAAGATCAGTTCTATGAAAGGCTGCAATCAATTATGGAGAAGTGCTCACGAAAGGACCTCACCATCCTGATGGGAGATCTAAATGCTAAAGTTGGAGTGGACAACACAGGATATGAAGATGTAATTGGAAGACATGGACTAGGAGAGAGAAATGAAAATGGTGAGAGACTTGCAAACCTATGTGCATTCAACAAATTGGTTATAGGCGGCACAATATTCCCACACAAGCGCATACACAAAGCTACATGGATCTCACCGGACCAAACCACAGAGAACCAGATAGATCACATCTGTATCAATAAAAATTTCCGAAGGTCAATGGAAAATGTGAGAACCCGGAGAGGAGCTGACATAACTTCAGATCACCACCTGGTTGTGGTCAAGATGAGACTGAAGCTTAAGAAAGACTGGACAAACAGCACTACAAAGGTTCAATACAGCCTTCCTTCGAGATACTGACAAGCTCCACGAATTCAAGATAACTCAACAACAGGTTCCAAGCTCTACAGGATCTACTGAAAGAACAAGAAACTACTTTGGAGGACAACTGGAAAGGGATAAAAGAAGCATTAACTTCAACGTGTCAGGAGGTTCTTGGTCCTAAGAAGCATCATCACAAGGAATGGATCTCTATGGGAACCCTGGACAAAATTCAAGAAAGGAAGAACAAGAAACCAGCAATTAACAACAGTCGAATACGAGCAGAAAAAGTCAAAGCACAAGCAGACTACGCAGAAGCAAACAAGGAAGTGAAGAAAAGCATTAAAGCCGACAAGCAGAAATACATGGGAGAACTAGCAGCGGCGGCGGAAAAAGCTTCAAGAAAAGGGAATATGAAACAACTATATGATACAACGAAGAAATTGGCAGGGAGATATAGCAAACCAGAGAGACCAGTCAAGGACAAAGAAGGGAAAGCAATCACTGAGATTCAATAACAGAGGAAAAGATGGGCAGAATACTTCGAGGAACTGCTGAATAGACCAGCCCCATTGAATCCACCGAACATCGAAGCAGCCCACACAGACCTTCCAATAGATGTCACTCCACCAACGATCGAAGAAGTCAAGATGGCCATCAGACAAATCAAAAGTGGGAAGGCGGCGGGACCTGACAATATACCAGCAGAAGCACTGAAGTCAGACATTGAAATAACTGCAAACATGCTTCACCTTCTATTCAAGAAGATTTGGGAAGAGGAACAAGTGCCAATAGACTGGAAAGAAGGATATCTCATCAAGATACCAAAGAAAGGAGATCTGAGCAAATGTGAGAACTACAGAGGCATCAGTTTGTTATCAGTAGCAGGAAAAGTTTTCAACAGAGTGCTGCTGAATCGGATGAAAGACGCAGTAGACGCCGAACTTAGGGATCATCAGGCTGGATTCCGTAAGGATAGGTCGTGCACAGACCAGATTGTGACACTACGGATCATCGTTGAACAATCAGTTGAGTGGAACTCATCACTATACGTCAACTTCATTGACTATGAGAAGGCGTTTGACAGCGTGGACAGGAGAACATTATGGAAACTTCTTCGACACTATGGAGTTCCTGAAAAGATTGTCAACATTATCCAAAACTCATACGATGGATTACAGTTCAAAGTGGTGCATGGAGGACAGCTGACAGATGCATTTCCAGTAAGGACCGGAGTCAGACAAGGCTGTCTACTCTCCCCATTTCTCTTCCTTCTAGTGATTGACTGGATTATGAAGAATTCGACATCTGAAGGGAAATACGGAATACAATGGACTTCTCATAATCAATTAGATGATTTGGACTTCGCAGATGACCTAGCCCTCTTCTCATACATACGAACAAATGCAGATGAAGACCGCAAATGTAGCAGCAGCCTCCGCATCGATAGGCCTCCACATTCACAAAGGAAAAAGCAAGATTCTCAAATGCAACACGGAGAACACCAACCCAATCACACTTGATGGCGAAACTCTGGAAGAGGTGGGAACATTCACGTACCTGGGGAGCATCGTTGATAAACAAGGAGGATCGGATGCAGATGTAAATGTGAGGATTGGCAAAGCAAGGGCAGCATTTTTACAATTGAAGAACATATGGAACTCAAAACAACTCTCAACCAATTTCAAGGTTAGAATCTTTAATACGAACGTCAAGACAGTCTTACTGTATGGAGCTGAAACGTGGAGAACTACTACAACCATCATCAGGAAGGTACAAGTATTTATAAATAGTTGTCTACGCAAATTAGTCAACATCCATTGGCCGGATACTATCAGCAACAGCGTTTTATGGGAGAGGACAAACCAGTTTCCAGCTGAATAGGAAATTAGGAAAAGACGTTGGGAGTGGATCGGACATACATTAAGGAAATCACCAATGTGCATCACGACTCAATCCCTAACTTGGAATCCGGAAGGGAAGCGGAATAGAGGAAGGCCAAATAACACGCCACGTCGGGAAATAGAAGCAGATATGAAAAAGGATGAATAGCAACTCGAAAGAACCGGAAAGGAAGGCTCAGGACAGAGTTGGATGGAGAATGCTAGTGAGCGGCCTATGCTCCTCGACGAGGGGTAACAGGCGTAAGTAAGTAAGTAATTCGTGTATCAAATTTTCATCCATACTTTTTATGTAAAGTATACTATCCAGTTTGCTACATCAAAGTTGATGGGTACATGTAGTTTAATTATCTCAAACGTTGTTCTTTACCAAAATTACTAACATTTTAATTGTTTACCAAAGAACGTCATCTGTTAACATAAAATAGGAATAGATTTCTTCATCAAAAGTTTTATCATATTTCATTTTTATCAGTGCGAGGTTGTAGAGATTGTTGTGTTTTGATTAAGATCATGAGTAGATCAATGTTAGGCCACCATTGAAAACCTGGAAGCACTGGATGACCGTTTCGTCCTGGTATGGGACTCCTCAGTAGTGCCCATCCATAATCCCACACTCAGAATTCGAACCAAGGACATTCGGTCTCGCGCGCGGACGCTTAACCTTTGGACCATTAAGCCGGATTGAGTTCGAATCTCGCTTGTGGGGTCGTGGATGCTCACTGCTGAGGATTCACATGCTGGGACGAAACAGCCTTCCAGTCCTTCCAACTTTTCAATGATGGTCTAATATTTCATTTTTATTTATTTAATAAATCATTTTTATTATACATTAAATAAACCTAAACTATACATGTTAATTCAGTTGTGTTTTCCTTTCAAGTTAATTTTTATGTTCACTTCACATATTAGTCAACAAGAATAAAATTGAATCAAATCATATTTTTATAAGGCTGATTTCTAAAAGACAGAATCCAGTTAAACTAAAATAGGCTAGTCATATTTATATTATAAATTTTAATTGTAGCTTAGATTTATTGCTAGTATCCGAAATATAACCGTTAGACAATGGTACGAATGTTGTTCTCAGTTAGGAAATCATGTTCACAATTATCAGTCGATTAAAAGCTTACTTTAAAAAAATCCACTCAATATCAAATCGTAAAATTTATTTTATTTTATTTATTTTATTTAAACACATAAATATTGGTACAAAAAAAAACACCAGATAAATATGCGCCTCACAAATCTCATTTGATTTGTATGAGGGCTGTGATACTGCCCAGGTGCCCAGACTGAAGCAGGTGGTTTTCTTAGGGGGCCACACCCCAAGCCTTTGACCTGAAGGTCTAGTCCACAAGGAAGTGGAGCATCGTGAAGAGATACAGTCCCCATGGTAGCCGGTGATCAACGATTGATTCGTACGCCATTTGTTTCTTACTGGATACTAGAGCCCATGTACACCATTGATTTGGAATCACGGTTTTCCAACTCCCCTGGGTGGACTTTCCGTGTCCACCAACCCGGTTAAAGCTCCGGACATTCGCTTTTCGTCCTCTCAGTTTCGTAAACAACACCCTGGTGCGAGAAGGTAGTGAGTAGTACTTCCCTGTCAGAGGCTATATATTCGCGTGGCCATGTGGGAGCATTTCGAGAGGGAGATCGGACTCTCCCTACTCTCGGCCGTACCAGGGCATTTGGTGGCAAAAATTGTAAATCGCAAATCGTAAAATACAGTAGGAAGTCGTGGTGTTTGTCCTAAATATCTACTACTCCTTTTTAAAAGCTGTTCGGCTGGCAAACAGTCTAAGGTGGTGAGTAGCAGCGATGTTTTCTGTACCGTATTCTCTTTGATGATCAATTTATTTAGGTTTCTGTGAATGCAAAGTTGATAAAAGTTATATAAATTATTTCATTTATTCCCTCAACTAAACCATTTAATATAACTCATCAAATTAAAAGTCATTTATTATTGTAAAAAAAATGGTTAGATAGGTTGTGTGGTTGGTGGACACTGGTTAAAATATTCCATTTTTTGTCTCAAACGATTACGTTTTTGATCAGTCTTAAGACTTCTGAGTTGGCGATCAACCTGATAAATATGAAGCATATGCAGGTATTTATCAGAAAGTAGAATACAATCGATTTCAGGCTTATTTAACGGGATTTGTCGGTGTGATATGTTTTTGACCTCTCCTCTACCATCTGGCAAATACTGTTGCTATAAAATTTTGTCGGTTTAGATTCAAATAGTCTGTCACACTTGAGAAATATGAAGCTCATACTTTAAAAGGTGTCTATAGTTTACAATATGGCGATATCAGTGTTGTGTTAGCATGATGGCATGAATAATACTTTTTATTAAACACTCCGAATGTAGGGTTAAATTGTATTCAGAATTCCCTAACTTAATCTGTTTTTCCAAAATTTATCTTTTAAGCATAGTATTTCATCGTTCTGCTCTCTTTGTTGAAGCCTGATTTTAAGAGAATAAGATCGAATACAGAATTCACTGGGGATTATAAGAATTCCATAATCCCTACCGTTGTTTGTTTATTGTTTTGCGATTTACAAAAGGCCGATTTTATTTTCTTCACTTTATTTTCCATTTTAGTAGATCTACAGAAGGACGTCCGGATAATCAGCCATCCACCCGATTACTTAATAAACCACGTGAGGTCAAGTTCCCTTGGAGTGTGTATACTACAAGCACAAAGTCAGCAGAAGAACTCCTTCAATCCATCATACATGCCCTTGAAGTCACTCCTGGTTGTCGTTATGCACATGACCCTCACCTTCCTTTTCTGTTGCAGTGTTCCTGGGCAGCTGACCGACCTGCTATCAAAAGGTCTGATTCAGAAGCTGCTTGTAAAGGTCAGGCTAACACATCCATTTCTGGATCCCTTGAGGTTCCAAGTCACGGTGGACTTTTACGTGGAGATCCTGTACATTGGGAAATGGAAGTATGTCAGTTACCACGGGTTCACTTGCGTGGTGTCCGGTTGAAACGAATACGTGGATCAACACTACATTTTCGCCCAATCGCTGATCTTGTTATGAAGTCGTTGCGTTTGTGATACCTTGTTGGCAATCGTTGCAATAAATATACAGATAGCTCATGGTAAACTATCACTTATATTTCAGTAATGTAACATGAACAAAAAAGGATAGATATCTTCAAATCTTATAGAACCAGTCCATTGGCTTTATATATTTCACTTATTTTATTCGTCCTCTTTTTAATTTACTGATGTCAAACTTGGTGTGTAGTTTTAATGACTGCTTCCCTACATCTGTTATTTTAAAAAATATACAAAATGAGACTTCATTTCA